AATAGTATTTTCAATCTCTTTAAAGATCAATATGTTATGAAAATTGCTTTGGGAAACTATTACTAGGAATGAATGATATGACAATGGTGGTTTCCTTCAGTTTATTTTTCCAGTCTTATATTTACATCAGCTCAATACCACATCAGCTGGTCATTTTTTCAAAAGAAGTCTGTACAAACATTTGTGTACAGCTTTGCAGGCATTTATCCTACTATATAAACTTTTTGTACCCACTTTGTCCTTATATGGCTCTTTTGCAAGAATTTCCCTCCAAATAATGCAGTGGTATCTCGGTTCACGAACTTAATTCATTCCATGATTCTGGTCACGAGCCCAGTCAAATTTCCCAGTAAGGTTCAATGTAAATAAAGTTAATCCATTCTGAACCATAACTTTATATTATACATAAAGGATAGCATATAAAAGTTATAAATAAATATGTAATTTTTTAAGCACAAAAATATGAGCCATGTCCCCGAGCTGTGGGCCAAGTGGCTGCTGCCTCGGCGAGCCTGGGGGCGGATGGGCCGAGGCGGAGCTGAAGCAGGGCCGTGGCTCCCGCGCCTCTGCCGCAGTCTTCTCAGGACAAGCCGCCGCTGATGTCAAGTGGCCACCATGCTTCTTCCCCCTGTGGTGGGGAGAGGCAGGAGACACCCCACTCAGCCAGTCGCGGCCCCGTCCCTCGCCTCTCCGGCCTCCCACTCCTGCTCCCTGTCTCAGAGCCGGGTGAGCGCCTGCAAGGTGACCTTCTTCTGGCTTGGGAGCGGGGCAGCAGCGAGGAGCCAGGAAGGCCTTGACCGAGGCAAGCACGCCCTCATGGCTCTCCCTTGTTTCATGCTCTCTCTTTTGGCGTGTGGTTCGGCGTCATCTTGGGCTTCTGCTGCAGCCCAAGCAAGCAGAAGATGGCCATGATCATGGTCATCACCTGATGCGGCATTCACAAACGAAGGCAAAATTTTGTCAAACTTTCTGTTCGCGAACTGAACTGTTCATGAACAGAATCATTCATGAACCAAGGCACCACTGTATTTTCTAATGTTTTAGTAATATACACATTTTGCATGCATGTTTGAGAACTGCATGGCAAAATATGAAAAAGCAAACCCTAACTTTATTTCAGCTGACATCTTGATTTAAGAAATGTAAATAAGGTTCTCACTACACTTCCCACCACCCCTTGAAATTTGAAAGTTATTCAAAATATTGTTATGTTTCCTCTAAAAAATGGTGCCTGAAGCTGCAAACTACTTTTGGCCATTTTGGAACTCCATAACAGCCATTTTATTTTTATCTTCCTTTTTGTGGCGCTCATGGAAGGTACAGTAAAAATGGTGCCTGGACCCCCTGAAGACACCCGTCCTACTCTATGAAGACCAACAGAATTCCTTACCCAAAACATTTTCATCCTATCTGGATTACACTTCATTTTGTTTCTTCTAATCCATTCCAAAACTGCTTTCAAGTATCCATTTGGGAGTTCTGCTGCCTCCCTGGGACAGGTTGATGGATAAGAAGATAGAGTTGCATATTGGTGACATAATCTTAAGATAGAACCCAGAGGTTCTATATAGATGTGAAATATCATGAGACATGATAAGAGTCTTGTGATACTCCAAAGGCTACAGGGTAGAAATCCCCCAGCAACACCTTCTCAGATTAACCAGTCTTATGATCAAGCCACTACAATGCTGTATTTCCTCCCCACAAACCCAATCCTAACAGGCTGATAGATCTTTAACACATGTCAGAATTTACTTCATGGGTTTATCATTATGGGAAAGACCTAAGAAGCTTGAGGTCTTACTTCTCAGAAAGGATTTTGGTCTCCATTTTTTAATTTGGCATTATGTCCAAACTCTAAACTATCGTTTATTGAAACAAGTCAGCTCTATAACCCATAGCTAAAAGTTTGCTTGTTTCAAATACAATTAAGATTAACCACAGCAGTTAGGTTTATTAAACAAAACAAGCTAAGTTACTCAGAAGTAAAAGTAAATGCTTTTCATCTTCCCCCAAACATGCTGTAGTAGGGAAGGGCAAAAGGCTCACCATAGATTGTCCCTGCCACAATAAACTCTGATTTAGTGTGATGTCTGAACCAGTTCAGCATCTTCTCTCCACTGCAAAGTTTCTTATGAGATGAAACTAGTATATTGAGAAAACACAGAAAAATGCAAGGCTCCGGGAATTAAACTGAAACAGGTAACAACAATTCTGTAACAAGAATATGATTTGCACAGATGTTGCTGCAAAATACAAACAAAATTATTTTTACAGGGTCCATAAAATCTGATCTCCACACTACAAGAAATAGGCAAATCCATCTCTAAAGCACTATAGTAATTAACTAGTTAAATGCCTATGATTTTGGAGGGGAGTAGAAGGCAGGTCCTCACTAATGAACTGTACTCCCTTCCTATCAGGGAAGCCAAGTCTGCACAATATTGTAACAATGTATCGAGTGATAAATGTTGCCTTTTTCTACAAGAGCGAGTGTTAGCCATTCATTTATATGGGAGAAAATAAAATTTGTGCTCACAAGCATTATTGATAGAAACTTCTGAGGGAACCAGCTTTTGCTCCTCCTTTAGACTTCCCTTCCCAACATGCACCCACCTTTTTGCCATCTTTCCCATTTTCAACCAAGCATTCAATTTCCTCTTCATCACAGGAGGACAGGAACTGGGGTGAAGAGCACTGTAGCCATTGCCCTATTATACCTCAATTCCAGCCCTTTCGGTCCTTAATTCAGTCTCTCAAGGAATTCCATATGCCACTGTTTCCCCTCCATTATGCTAACACTTCCCTTGCCTTAAAAAAGATGGTGCCACACTAAAGAATTCAGAAGCTGCTGTTTGGCAGTCAGGGGCAGAGCAAGCAGCAGCTACCACAACTGTATAGGAAAGAGCAATGAAGAAATGCAAAACAGCAGATTTAACAGTTATACAAGTTCTGTGTTCACTATTCTTACCCACTTTAGCAACTAGTTTCTAATATTCAGTGGCTAGGTTTACACAATCACAGGGGAAAGTAAGCCATGGTGGCTTTCCCCCTAGTGATTGTCCAAATCAAGCCAGTTTCGCTATAGTGCTCACAGCAGGGCAAGAGATAAAACATTAAGAATTACATTAAGTAATTCATAATCATATTATGACCATTATTTACAATCAATTATGCATTAATCATTAATTATAGGTATTATGGCCCAGATTACAGTCTAGAAGCACATAAGGCATCCACTACAATGAAGCTAAGCAGGTCTGGAGCTGGCCTGAACTTAAGAGAGGTGACCACCTTGGAATCACATGTACCCACCCTGGGAGAAAGGTGGGATCTCAATATAATAAATAAAATACGTGTGACTTTAAAAGGCAAGTGATGCAGTTAATAGTTCTGACAACTTCCTGCATATTCAAGCTCTAAGCAGGTTGAAAGTACTAAAGTCTGGATTACATAAAACCATGCTGAAAATGGTTTGCCAGCAACACCTCCCTTTCTGCATCAAGAGAAACTGTTCTAGCATGTTCTTGCAATAGCGGATCAGTACCCAATGATGAAACAGTACAGGCATGCAACATTTTCTGAGAGCAGTATCCTACAAATTTACAGAGAGAAACTGTGCAGCAATCTCACTAAGGGCAGCCACCGGCTGAACAGTGCTTGTTTTTTTTAGGAGTACACATTATCTAACCAGAAGTAAAAACTCCTCAACAGCCTATGCTTGGATACAGCACTATTTTCTTTTTTGATTGTTTGATATTTATTCTCTCTGCCCGTTTCCTCCATTTATAATTCAAGATCTATTCTCTTAACTGTCGTACTTCTAAGTTTACTATGTCATATTTTTCCTTCACTATCTTAGTGTCCCTTAAAAACACAACATCTCGTTACTTGTATCACACTAGCGACTGAACGAAGGTGCCAAAAAAAAAAAAAAAAGGAGCTAAAGATACTAAACCAGCGAGGCGTTTTACAAGAGCCAGGGAGGGGATCGTCATTTAAACCACATCACGTGGCCAATCTTCTGAAGATTCCGACCTCCTCCTCTTTCTGAATCCATTAAACGGCCAGGAACATACCCCGCATTCCCTCAATAAATCGAGATCACTTTACAGCAAGGCACGGCCCAGGGTTAATTTACCCGGGTGGGGATGGGACTGGAGTATCCTACGGGTACTACAGACCTTTCTAACGGAGGAGACACAAACGTTTCGCGTCAGCAATTAAGCAGCGTCCAGGAGATGAACCCCACCCCCTTGCCCTAGGATGGCGGCGACGCGAACTTGCGCTGCCCCGAAACCCTGTGGCCCATCTCGCGTCCTTCCCGCCACCCCCGAATCCCAAAGCGTCTGGCCTAAGAACTCTTCCAGGAAACCCAGAACACAGGAGAAAGACAATAGCTTGACAACCGCTGGTCCTGGCTGGAGAGAGTCAGAGCCTTCGGCACTCACCGCTCCCCCACCCCGCCCTGCAGGATTTGGAACAGTCACCGGTTGGGCTCGAGACGCTGTCCCCCTCCCCCCCGCCAGGAACTCAGCCCGCCAGCCAGGCGGCCCGTCAATATCAAATGCGGCTGGCGTGGAAAGGGTCAGACAGGGAGGCTTCGCCGCCACCGGACAAGGGAGAGGAAAGCGGTTCAGGTCCCAGCGAGGCCCACTTAAAGAGGCAGAAGACTCATAATCAACGGGGAAAACTCAGTCATGTAAACTCAGTCAAAGGTGGACGGGGCTCACTCACCGTCTGCTGCGCGCTGTCCCCTCCCTGCCCTTCCCGGGCTCCTCCTGGCGGCCACCGCCCTCGCCTGCCCCGGGGGATACGCCCGCGCCCCGTTCAGCTCCCTCCGCCTCAGGCCGGTTTCGCAAGATGGCGGAACTTCCGGGAGAGACCATTGAAGGGCTGGAGACAGGCGCAAAAGCAGAGGAAGGCGCGCGGGCGGAAGAAAGAATCCCCCGCTGCGTACCAATGGGCGCGCTCGTTGCGTTTCCCTCCCGCCCCCGGCGCTGCCCTTCCAGTTCCATCTTTTCTAAACCACGGTGCTCGTTCGCGCAGCCAACATGCTGGCGGCGGCCCCTCACTCGTGCCTGGGATGAGCTGTCCTGGCGGGCCTTCACGCCCCCCGCGAGGATACCGTGAGGCGGTGTCCGACTTCCTGATGGTGGTCCTCACCGCGCTGGGCCCCGGCGCAGCGCGCCTCTTTTTCTACCCGACCCTTCTGTACACCCTGGTGAGGGAGCGGCTGCCGGGCTCGCAACGGCCGTGGTTCAGCCGCATCGACCACGCCGTGCTGCTGGGGGCGCTGCCGCTGCGGGGCCGGTGCCGTCAGGTAACGGGACGCGTAGCCGACCGGCTCAACGGCTGCCTCGTGGAAGGCGGTCGGTGGGGACTCCGCGCCCTGTTCGTGGCCTTCGGCCTCTCCGTGGTCGTTGCCGCCGTTTCTGCTGTGAAAAGGTGGCTGCCCTCTCCTTGCAATGCGTGCTTCGCGGGTCACCGGGCTGACCCAGGAGAAAGTAACTTGGCGTACTTACTGCGGAGGGCAAGCCTTGCCTTCTCCTTTTGCTCCTCCGGACGGTAGTCTGCTCTCCGGCGATTTAAGATGCAATCCTATGCACTTCGTTACAAAGGGATCTCGAGCAGGCCCCACTGAAGTTGGTGAGGCTTACTTAGCATGCGTGCATAACGTTGCAGTGTTCAAGTCGGTGAAATCTTTAATTGGACGGTAGAAACGATGGAGAAAACTTCAGTTTGATTTCTGCCTATGAGGCTGTGCTCAAAAGATGCAGGGCAAGCAAAAATATTTGAGTTCATTAAGTGATCTTGTGGAAATGATGCTGGACCGTGCAGGGTTGGAAATGTGGGTGTGTTGAAGTGTGTGCTTATCAATACTAGAGTGGTCACATACTTTCAGGTTTTTACATTTGTCCTACCTCAGACATGCAATTTTATGATGGGTCCTAATGTCTTTGATTTGCATTTGTAACTCATGTTTTCCCACTTCTTTCTTATAAAAAACCTAAAGGTAATGATCAAATAGCTGCAAAGTGTCTTTTGGTTGATACTGCTAGGTCTTTAGGAAGAACTCAGATGATGAACCTGCCAAGATCTTAAGGTGTGAAAGCCTTCCTAGTCTGATCCTTTAAACCTCCTGAGGTTGTTTTGGGGTATTCCCAGATGGGTCACACCAAGCATTACCAATTAAAAGGTATTAAGCAGCAACTCCAGGTTTCTTGTATTAATAACATATAGAAGCAGCAGAGTGGACAAGCTTGGGTGAGTTACTGGTAGAAGAGGATGCTTTGTCCCTTGTAAAACACCTTGTTTGAAGCCGAGTGATTGCACACTGTAAAGGACACCCTAATCATTGTTGGTTCATATAAAAGGCTAAGCAGTGAGGGTGAAAAAGACTGCAAGCCAAAGCCCCTTTTGAGTTCAGGTTCAAAGCAAGTATGGGGGGCTGCCTTTCTACAGGCAACCTGTACTGCCCAGCTGTACTACTGTGAGAATAAACTACTGCTGAGCCATTAATTGTATTAATCATTTTGTGAACTGGATATTGAGACATTCAATACCTGAACAGAAGTTGTAAGATTAATGAATTTAGAGTTCCTATTAAGCACATAATATGCTTTATTTATATTTATGTAAAAATCTTACTAGTAACAGGATAGGTGGCCTGCCATCACATTCTCCATGCCACTGCAAGGTAAGTTTAAAGAGATGTTTATGGGTAGTATGAAAATACTGCTGTTAGCCATTGGGAGAGGATGCACTACATTTTATAATAAAGGAAATTGGTCATGCAGTGATTTGACTGTTCTTCCTGCAGCTGGTAGAGGAGGAGAATGTCCGAGGAGTGCTCACCATGAATGAAGAGTATGAGACTCGCTTCCTGTGTTGTTCTCCACAAGTGAGTCCCCCACCAATTTCAGTGCAATGCAACTGACAGGCACCTCAGGAGCTGGAGGGAACAGATAATCTTAAGTACAGATGCAATCTCTTTTGAGAGAGAAGGAATACAATATAACATAATGTATACCACAGTCAGAACTGCACACCTTGATCTGTGCATGTTTACACAGGAGCAAGTCTTTGGGGATTAACTTCAGGTAAAGATAGCAACTTTTATTTGTGACATTGCCTTATTACCTAACATTCCAGTCTTATTCTTTTTACAACCCTGTCTTACATTTAGTATTCATTAGTTTAAATTAGTAACTTGCAGCTGCATCTTGCCTGATAGTTTTACCAACCCCAGAAAGTGATGGCTTCTTTGTCATTCTCCTCCTCTTCTCCTAATTGCTGATTTCATTTTCTGAATTGGCTGCAGGAATGGGAGGCAATGGGAGTAGAACAGCTGCGCCTTAGCACTGTGGATCTGACTGGAGTGCCCTCTTTGGAGAACCTGCACAAAGGTGTAGAGTTTGTACTGAAGCATCGCGAACGTGGGCATAGTGTTTATGTGCACTGCAAAGCTGGCCGCTTTCGCAGTGCCACCATGGTTGCAGCCTACTTAATTCAGGTAAGAAGGGCCCCTGCGGCTGAAGTGGCAGTGCAGCTAGTAAGTACATGAATGTTTGTTCAGGGTAAGAGATGTCAAAATTTCTCCCAGGACGGCCACACTGTTCTCAAAGCAGAGATGGCCCTCCAGCTGTTTTAGCCTTGAACTCCCATCAGTCCTAGTTAGCATAACTAATAGTGGCCATGGCAGTTGTAGACCAAAACATCTGAAAAAATGAAAATTGCCTATCTCTAATATGAAGAAATACAACTTTTTTGGCATTATGTAAAAGGCTGTACTACTTTATTTAGTACTAATTGTGTCAGAAAATAACTAACAGTCAGGTTCCTTGAGACTGGGATAGATTGGAAATCTGTTTCTTCAAGAGTGACAAACAAGTGTGAATGAAATGCTTGTACTTACAAGCCCCTTACTGTTTGCAAAGTGGAATAATGAAACATAATTGCTCCCTAAAATACTGAGTTGGCCAGTGGTACACTTTTTCTTATTTGCAGGTCTAGTTTTGAGAACAAGATGTTGCTCTAGACTTATATCCATTCACCATCTAATAATGTTTGGGTTGTGCTGAAGCAACTAGCCCAAGCTAAATAAATTCTGCTTATTATGACTTAATGGAAAGCAATACAGAAGCCATGCTTCCACTGCAGGAACAGAAGAGAAACACAGCTGCTGAGTACCCAGCTGAACTCAGGTCAAGGCAAATTTTAGCAGACATGCAGTTTAGATTCACTTAAGTGCAAGTGAATTAAGCATTACAGAGTAAGTTCCCTTTCCCATTAACCATTTCCCCATTGTGTGGCATAAGCTTGTCCATTCCCCCTGTAGGGGACACATTTTTAATTTGGCTTTTCTACCTCTGCAGCTCCACCAGTGGACGCCTCAAGAAGCAATAGAAGCCATTGCCAAGATCCGTCCTCATATCATCATCCGCAGTAAACAAGTTCAGTTGTTAGAGGACTTTCATAAGTGTGTAAATGTTGGAATTCCTGTACAGGCACCGCAAAAGCTACCAGAGGGAGAGCAGGAGCCATCAGCAGTCAAGGAAGGAGAGCACAAAGCATCACAGTACACTCGAGGCACCCCTTTGAAAACACCTGGTTCCTAACCTACTGTTTAGGAATGGACCATCATTGTTTCAGCTACCAATCAATTAGCATCCTCCAGCATTAGAATAAAAGCTGATAGCTAAAAGGTTCTATTAGCTCCCTGCTCTCTCCCCCCCCCCCCCGCCCAGTAGGTGAGCACATTTGTCTCACCTGCCCCCTCTGCTGCCACTGCCTATTGCTGTCAGGGTGCATGCATGGGACCACCCTTGGCAGTGCTTCTCTCTCAAATACACGCAATTCTGAAATGACAGTTTTGTTCCAGCAGAAGCCTTTATTCACATTTGCAGCCCAGGAGGCTTATAGTATCAAGGGGAGCTTTGCTTTTCCTGCCAGGTAACAGTACAGTGGTAAATAGTGGTCTCTTCTATTTCTGGTACAGTTAAAAAAAAACTGTTACCCTCATTATTTCTAACTAAAGAGTTGTCTTCTGCAGGTCTAATGGGGAAAGTAAATTTCTCAAGAAATCACCTGTCTAGTAATTGAAGCTCTAAGGGGTGTTTTAAGGATTGCTGTAGTTACATATAACCTGCAACACGGGAGCTCTTGGAAGATTGTAGTAAGTGTTCAACTACTTTACATAAGAGTCTTGCTGGTGGTGATGGGTTTAGGCCTAAGAAGCCTCTCAACTGTGGGACACTAGAAGCTGACCAGCAAGGGACCTCAGTGCTAACAGTAATCCAGACAGTTCTCAGATTGTACCAATTAAATGTTACTGAGAACAGGGGTGCACCTATAATGCTGCTTCTGAGCAGGAGTTAGAAGTGGGGAGAGGGGGGAAACTCTCTAGAAGACTTGTGATCTAGCTCAAGGAGCTGGAGCCTATGGGATCTATGTGTCTGACCTGCATAATGGAATGGCTATTGTCCTGGCACAGAATTCTTCCCTCAGGCCAACACGAACTGTAAATTTGTAAGCAGCAGTTTGAGGCCACTAGTAATAGTTACCACAGAAGTGGCTGGATTGAGTTTGAAGGTGTTGGCATCGCCCTTCTTGTAGCGATCTCGAAAGATGAAGATGTTACCATTACAACTAGCAATTTTCCAAAGAGATGGTACTGCACTCCAGGCATCTGGCAAACAGAGCCGGGTAAAACTATCCAGCAGAGGGTTATAGCACAATAGTGAGTCTCCCTCTGCTACTATGAACACCAGGTCTTTGTGCACTGCAGCATGCATGCACCCCGCAAAGGGTAACACATAAGGCTTCACATGGCACTTCTCTGTGTTGGTGTCATAGCACTGGATAAGTCGAGAGGGTTTGGTAAAGAAGTCAAGGTCGTTCTCCTCCCCGCCCAACAAATAAATGACGCCATTGAGATTTACACCTGCCGCCCCAGACACAGCTACTTCAAGCTGGCTAGTTTCTGTCCAGACATTGTCTCTCACTCTGTAGTATATGATGGCATTTGAGAGGATGTCCTGCAATGTCTTGCCACCCAGTGAGTAGATTGCATCCTTGCTGGGCACAGAAACCAAAGTGTGTTGGAGCCTGTCACGGGGCAGGGGGGCACACCATTCCCAGTCTATCGTGGTGTTGTTGCATTTCCACATGCGTCGTGGAATGGATCCTCCAACAACGTAGAGATCACTGCCGTGCTTGCAAGCTGCGGTGATTTGGTGGCACAAACTGTTCTGACCACTAATGCTGATGGAGTCGTCATCAGCACAGTGCAGTGAGACAGCAAGGGAATGTGTACGAGAAGATTCCTTTCCAATCAGATAAATGTGAACATTCTCTCCGATTTCCTACAAAATAAAAGGAACTGTCATTAGCCTTGGATAGGTCCTTGTACAGAAATCCAATCAAGGGGAGGCATGCTAATCTAAACTGTAGAAAAAGGGCAAAATTAAATTAGGCTTGAGATTTTACAACTCATAACCTGTTTCAATTATCCTACATCCCTTAAGTTGCCATTAGATATTAGGCCATTTGCAGTCCACAGGCTGGGTCTGAAGTCCATCATGATGAGGCACTAGATGAAATGCAAATATACCCAAACCATTTAAGAAATGGTTGTTGAAATACCAACATTTTTATTAAGTATTTTATCTCATACTAATGACACTGATCAAGGAACTGTATGTATTTGATTTATTTCCTACCTTATAAAGAACTCACAGTGGCTTACATAACTCTCATTCTCTTGCTCTCCATCTTACTCCAACACCAACCCTGTGTGAGAGCCATGGAGCCAACTGGGCCCAGCCTGAGTGGGGATTAGCACCCAGACTGCCCGAGTGCCAGTCCTGTGTCCTTAACTACTCCATCACACTGGCTCTCTTAGCGTAAAGGACACCCCATATTTTCAGTTGTGCTGCATCAGACCAAAAAGCCTCTCCCAGTGCAGCATTAAGTTCCCACAGTAGCTAGTCAAATGTCTATGGGAGACCCACAAGCAAAGCATGACTGCAATAGTGCCCTCCTGCTCATATTCCCCAGCAATTGGAGAATATTGGACATACTCTCCCCAATATTAGATGTATTATATAACCATCAGAATGAATAGCTATTAGTAGCCTTTTCCTCCATGAATCTAATTCCCTTTTAAACTGTCCAAAATGGAGATCATCCCTACCTGCCCTGAAAGGCAGCCTAGAATTACTTTAATAAAAACCTGTGGTAGGAATTTCTGTAATCTATATGCTGCATGAAAAGTATTTTTATCTGTTGTGATCTCCCATCACTCTGCTTAACTGGGTGACTGATTTCTAGGATTACCCACTTCACATCAACCATAATTTATACATTTCCATCTTGTCTCCCCTTAGTTCCTTCTCTTTGGGAGTGAGGGAGAGAGAGTAAGCAGCTCTCAGCCATTTTACAAATTCACATTAAATGTATTGTTGCCTTGGCCATTGCTTGCAAATGCAAGGCTAGAACAAGACATTTCACAGTTCTAAAAGTTACATATTTCTTAGTCACTTAATAAAAAACACATCTTTTCAAAAGATAATCTTCCTTCCAGCTTAGCAAAGGAAAGATACGTATTTTCCTAATATCAGAATAAAAGTGACATTCTAAAATAAAAAGGGTTATGTCTTCCACTATGAAGGAGAATGTGTTCTGTACAGGCTGCCAAAGGTGGTACATTCAGCTTTGCCTACACAAAAGCAGTTCACATTTTAATTGAAAATAATCAAATATTTCAGAGATTAAAAAAGTAAGAGGCTAAATGCTTATATATTTTATTTGAAAGGCAACTTGAAATTTTAGCTGTTTGAGACTATTTCAGTATCTTTAAGATGTTGCAGCAGAACCAGCTTTGCTCTGTATAGTCCAGAGACAGTAAGAAGCATGTAGAGAGCCTCACACTTGGAATCACAGAAGAACTATTTTGTTTCCAGGAGGTAGGGCCCATTTCTTCACTTGCAGATGGTACAAATTCAGATGTTTGCTTAAAATTACCCCCCACCACCTCTGCAAAGACAAAAGAGAGAGAATCTAAGAGTTGCAACTTTTACAGACATCAGTCCCAGCTCAGTGTGAACTCTTGCCAGTTTAGTAGAAACTGGGACAGAGAAAAGACTACATAAAATGTGTTTGGGCCCTTTCAATTAGATCTAAATTGCCTATTGCCCACAATGGGGGGCCCATATAATAATTGTGGCAAGACCGTAACCCTATAGAGTTCTAAAGTTGGCTGCACTAACTTGCCCCTTTAGTGCAATGAAAATGTAGCAATCCATTAAGAATTTTTTCAGTTAGCAAGGCACTGGTTTGTACTTGGAGGGACCATGCCCCTGACTGCTGAAATAAAATCTCAAGATACTTGACAGAAGGGGGTTGTTTTAAAGTATTCCCATCCATTTTCCATTTACAGACTTGCCTAGGTTTACCAAATGCCACTATATGTGGTAATTAATAGAGAGCTGTTCATTTTGGCCGTAGTGACTAAATTGCCTTAACAGTCACCTGGCCATGGGAAATAAAAATGGCATCATCTGCATAAAGGAGAATTGAAATGTTATTTGGTCCAACTCTAACTGAAATATAACAGTCACCTCTTACAAACTCACGAATGTCATTAAAAAAGATTTAAAAGATGGGGAGAAAGTAAACATCCTTGATGAACTCCTTTAGTGACTGGCACTGAATTGGATAAATGACCTTATTAGTCAAAACATGCTTTTTTTCTTAAGCTAAAATTATTTATATACCTTTAAACTTGATTGCAGTAGCTCTGAGAAACCTGCACGTTCTTCTTTATTGAAGCTAATCCAGGTTTCTATGGCAGCTGTTGGATTCTGGGAGCATGGTACTCCATCTGCAAAGTTGCAGAGAGAAAAATAGTGAAGTATCCAAGTTATTGGCACAGAAAACACTCTTTTCCCCACAAGTCATCAGGTTTACCTGGGCAATCATTGTACATTATTGTTCCTAGACTACAGATGAACATGGAAGGTGTAAGAATGTGACCTATCAAGCCCAGCCAATAAGATCATGCTTTATCAGGGAAATGTCATTTCACCTTCACAGGACCAAACTACCTTCTTTCTATTTTCAGTTAAGGCAAACAAAAGCTTTCATTTTGACCTTGGATGATCTTGGAAATAGTTTTATAATTCCTTTTCTAATTAAATTATAGCTTTCTAAGGACCATGTTTAGAAAAGTACTGTTGCGACACAAATTCTGAAATTCTGTGAAACTTACCCATCAAATCAACAGTCTATTTTTTGGTGATAACAAAAAATAGATGTAGAAATTGGATCAAAGATTCAAGATAATAGACTGTTCACGCATGTGAGAAACAATGTTAAAATATTTACTTTTCAGTACAGAAATCCAATCCAGGACAAATCCATTGTTTGTCTCTGCGCAAAAGCTTGCTCTGTTTGAGCCCATGTGTGGTAGCTAAATCACTGTAGAAGCCAACAGCAGTTAGTAGAGATTTCACTTCTAAAAGTTGTCAAATAGGCCAGGCAACAGATAAATCTTAAATTATTCAGTACTAGAGTTTGTGTAGTTTCCGCTTAAATTGGAGTGCTGACATTAATTGTAGTTTAAAGAAAAATTCTGAAGGCTTCATTTGCTTTCTTCAGACTAAGCATTCAATTATTTCAAAATTGGCCCCGAAACAGTTCTTGATATACTATGCAAGAAACAAATAACATAGTACAAATCACGTAACTCATAATTACCCTTGTAGCTGATGATAATTAAACTATCCAGAATGCATTTTCTAGAGCTGTATTGAGATCCTTGATCTGAAACTCCACCATCTGTGCCTTAATTTATTTCAGTCTAATAAGTAATTATCAGGGGGTGGCTGCCCAATCTTTGCTTTGCTCATCCAGGCTCCTCACCACTTCCAGTTGCAGCTGCCTCTTACCTCATCTCCCCCCCCCCCCATTACTACCACTTCTCCATGCAGTTCATTCTGCACTCCTGACCACATTTGTTATGCAAAGCAAATTTTACTCAGCCATCAATTCAGCATCATTCAGCCAAACAAACATATGTTCCACTGACTTTTCCTTTCAGCAAAGAAAGGAGGTCCGGGCCAATGCTGAGCTGAAAGATGAGAAACCTCCTGTGATGCAATTTGTACTACAACTATCTTTTAATTGTACTGCTTTGTAGAATGACAACACATTTTCCCTACACTAACAGAGCAAACCTACCTGTTGCTATGGAGAGCTCCAAATGCTTGAACCTCCACAGAATGCCAAAGTTTTACTGGTGTAAGCCCAGGAGGATGGACAAGAGGGAGGGCTTTTTCTTAATTATTTACCTCCCATTACAAATATTTGGATTTGGATCCAAAACCTCTCCCAATCACACTGCACTTTGTCCCCTTTTTACCTCTTCCAAAGTTGGCAGTAACTTCTGTGGATGTTTCTGGAAGTCTGGGAGGGGGGTCTCGGAGGTCAAATCTACTCCTTCGAGAGTTGAACTCTCATCACCCTTAGATTGGGATGCTCTCCCAGACATTCCATATTTCCTATAGAACATCTGACAATGTCTCTCCCCAAATACTCCTGAGCAAACTTAGCAGCCATGGAGTAAGAGGGGAGACCCTCTTATCAATCTGGTTAAAAAACAGAAAGCAAAGAGCAGAAATAAATGGTAAATTCTCCGAACAGAGGGACAAAAACTGGGGTTGCACAGGGATCTGCACTGGGACTAATACTTTTCAATTTATTCATATACCATCTGGAATTAGGCGTATGCAGTGAAGTGGCCAGGTTTGTTGATGACACCAAATTATTAACCCTCATCGAGAAGAAACTGTGAGAAGCTCAAAATGGATCTCTCAAAATTTAGATAATGGACATCAAAACAGCAAATGCAGTTCAATATAAACAATTGTAAAGTTCACATCAGGGCAAAAAATCCAAACTGAGTTGATGGGATCTGAACTAGCAGTGACTGAACAAGAGAGGAGCTTTGGGGTTGTAATGGGCAGCTTGATGAAAATGTTAACCCAGTATGTAATTGTGGAAAGGACAAACTCCATGATTAGCATAATTAGGAAGGACATTGACTCTAAAACTGCCAATCTCATACTGCCCTTAGGCAACTGCACTTGGAATAATCTGTACCATTCTGCTCACCACACTTAAAAAAGGGTTATTACAGAGTTGGGAAAAGAACAACTAAAATGATCAAGGGGCTGAGCAACTTCCCTATGAGGAAAGGTTACAACTTCTGAGATTGTTTAGCTTGGAAAAAGGGCAAGGTATGGCACAGAGAAAGTAAATAGGGAAACCTCCTCTCTTTTGCATAATAGTACAACCCAGGATCATCCCATGAAGCTGATTGGTGGGAGGTTCTGGACAGATGAGGTTCTTGCAAAAGGAAGAACTGTGGGATATAAATATAAGAACCTGAGGGTCTTAGGTTGCTATGCCTTAATTCAGAGATTTTGGAAAAGAGGGACTTGAAAAGTGAGTATCAATCTTGGAGACTAATACTATCTCACTACCATGAACTTTTGAAGGTTAAACATGATACTCCAGGAAAGCCTCTTAACTTCAAGACTTAGTGACTGCTTTTTACAGCAACCATTTGTTTTGATATTAATGACTGTGGCTCTGCATTGGCTGCCCCTGCACCAAATCCACAAGCAGCAAAGGTCAATCTAATGTTGCATAGGTGGACTGTCCCTTCCTCCTTGCCACACTCCTGAATTTGCTCAGATGGTTCCCTAATGCTCTGGAGAGTGTGCTAAACAAACTTTAGGAGGAAGGGGAATCTGAACCACCAGCAGCATCCAGGCTGCTGGCAGGCAAACCAACTACTGCAGTTGTCAACAATTTTCCTTTGAAACACCTGTCCTCAGAGAACATGCCGCTTCAATTTATTTTTTATTTAAGATTTTTTTCCTCCCAACTAAGTTGAGTAAGATAGTATTTCAAAAGATTCCTCAGGGACCAGGACTATAGATCATCTTCTGAGGAGCAATACAAAATTAGTTGCATTTTCTTAAAGGAAAAATGCAACTGAGTTCCAGTCCCTCACTCTTAACTGTCACACCACACTAATGGCATTAGCTAGTATAACAGGTTTTCCAGGGAATCCCACTGAACTAGGTTCTCTTATGCCAGCACAACACGAAGCCACAAGCTTCCATAGAACCATGAATGCTATCATGTGGGCAGACACTTTATTCATGGCTGTAATTACTAAAGTTTCTTGAATGTGTTGCTGTCTCAGGAGTCTTGCTTTACATCTAATTAAACATCTTATACTGGATACTTCTGTATTGCTTCTAAAGCAGCCAGATTGTTAACATAAGTTATTTTTTTTCCCTTTTGGTTTTCAATGTATTGGAAAAATTTGTATTTTTAGGAAAAATCCATTAGATCCCCATCCTAGTCTTATGTTTCAAGCATACAATAATTTAGGGAGCAATCCTATGCATATTTAGACAGAAAAGTTCCTACAACTCCCAGCATTCCCCATGCAGTTCAAGGTGGCTGACAATAAACTAAGTTACAATAAAATGCAGTAAACCAAGAAATATTAAGTCAGCAAACAAAAACAATTAAAAACAGCATTTAAAAAAACTGACAGAAGAGTACATTCTAAATAGGGAATGTTTCCTCCAAAGGTCTTCCTTAAATGCTGTGCTTGAAGCTAAGGGGTAGGCAAACTGAACCTCCCTAGGCAGGAAGCCCCGAAATTTGGTCATAGCAGCCCTTTTCTCAGTTCAAGCAAGCAAGGTTTGGAACAGGCAAGAGGCCTATGTGGATGAACTTAGATAGCCCACATTATTGTGAAAAACCTGCAGTTGGGAAGCTGTTCTAGGGACTATTCTACCTACCTGAGACAATATCTGTCAGGAGACGGAGAGGAAGGTGGAGAAACTCCTCTGTTTCCTGAAGTTGTGATAAGTATGACTTGGCACAGTGCTTGGCTGCTGTGTAAAGTTCCACATCACTGTGCTGATCAGCCAACCACATGATCTGCAAACAGTTTCGCACTTGCACAGTTCGAGCTAGGAAACGGGAGCACTCCTCAAAGAGGGCAGTCAGTTGGTACATATCTGCTACCTCGTAAGTCTCCTGCAAGTCTTCTGCCCTCAACTTTACAGTTCCATGATAAATATAGTCCACCAAGAGCTGAAACACACTCTCACTAACATCTTGCAACTCAATCACTCGGTTATGAGCCTCTTTCAGGTTGGAAGTGAACATAGAACGAAAGAAGCAGCTCTGAGCTGAGAGCACTAGCCGGTGCAGCTGGAATTCTTTGCCTTCTACTGAGATGGTGACATCAGCAAAAAGTTCATCCTCTAGGCACAACTTCATAATTCCCTGGGCCACACGGCCTGAATGAGAACGATCAGTGAAAGTATAATTCACAAAGTAGTTCTCGTCGGTTGAAGAATTTCCAGTTTCCTCTGTTGAAGAACCTCCAGGCTCCTCAAGTGAGTCCATGGTGTTGCTTTGACTTGACCTCCAGCAATCTGAAATACAGCAACACATGAGCAATTCTGTATTACACATTTGTGCTCTACTGCATCTCATCAAAAGCAATCAAGCTGCAGGCTTTTAGAATTAAATATAAAAAGGCACAGATCCTGAGTCACCAATGTGTGATCATGTAGCAAGTCAGATGATTGCACAGAATACTTACTTACTGGTGTGTGTTACTGAACTCTTGCCAGTTTTTTGCATCCAGCACCACCGCAGAATCATTCCCATATGCTGTATCTGACATAGCGCACTAAGTTTCTAAGATCTCAGAACTTGGACCAGTTCTCAAATGGGCGATCACTGACTGTTAGATGTTGCAGAAAACAAGAAGCTGGCAACAGGGACAGTCGGGGTCAATTCACTTCACATCAGCAAGGGCGCAATGATAAGAAGCCCCTGGAGTTGTTCCTCCTCTTCACCACTACAAGTTCATTCACCTGCCTCTCATTCTGGCAGTGGTGAGGAGGAGCAATATATGCTACCATATAGTTGGTAACTAGCTTTCCATCCATTAAGTAAACAAGTGGTAGCAATGCTGAGAATGAGAAGGAAGAGGACTCAGTGAGAAGGCAGACTCAGTAGGGACTTATTCAAGGGTTCTCAAGACCTTTGAACTAGCACTGGCAAGAAGCATACTAAAAATATATTCCAACAGGAATCAATGGAATTCAGTTAGCCTCAAAAATGCCTTCTTAAAAAGAACTTTGTATGCCTTATGGTATTATTCACAGGAATCTTAAGGCTTTTCCTCCCTAAATACATGCATATGTACAGATGCATATGATAGATTACTTACTGGGAATCCAGTCAGTAATCCTTACTAGTCAATCCAGTCTAACTTAGACTTAGTTATGTTTACATTCACCAACTCAAATAGTCTCCTGGACACAAAAATTATGAAGTTTTGTGGTCTGCATGTGTATGTGGTGAATGCACGACACATTTAATAAGACTACATTTTGAAAGATATATCAAATTGTATACCCACATTGGGGAAGCTGTGATAGGTTGTGCCCACCTGTCATGAATACGCATTTTAAAAATACACATTTGCTTCCTATGGTGCATGAAGCCCTCCCCCTCACCCCCCGGGTTAGAATAAGGGATATCTGTGCAAAATCTTGGGCAGAGCAGACAGCACGATCCACTGCATGGCTACTCACAAGCAAGACCAAAAATTCAATAGGATTTATCACCAGGGAAGCAGACGGAGTCAGATTTCACAGGTACACAGCACTAGTGCTTTCCTTCTAGCAGAGAGGTAGTGGCACTGTCATCATCTGCCACTACCACACCTCTCAGAATTCCCTATTCCTTCTGAGTTCAATCCTCACAATAGCTTGTGGAGAATCGATTTTCCCCATAACACTATATTGCTCCCTGCTGTAATGCAGTGTATTTTTGGGTGGCTTGGTCTTGAACAGACAATTGCGACTGAATCATTTTATTAAAGCCCCATGCCCGGCGGAGATGAACACTACTCGAACTGGTTTGCTGCTACGGTCCGATACAGCTGCCTGCATTTTCGGACCGCCCTCGGGGGCGTGTCTATGAGGGCTGGAATGACGCTCGCCCGCAGTCCTCCGCTGCGGGGAAGTATGTGCGGGGCTACAGCGACGGCACAGCGATGGCAGGTCGAAACACGCGGCTCCACACGTTCTCTTCGTGCTTCTCCTGCCTTCGTCAAGCAGCCGAAGGCCAGCTGCGCTCGCAGGCATCCGGGCAAAGGCAATCAGGCTCGTGGTCTAGAGCGATCCGACGCAGAGCCAGGCGCCGCGAGATCCACGGGTTGGAAGCCGCTCAAACGCTGCCCGGGGCCGGGCTGCTAATGATCAGCCGGGCCCCGAAACGCGCCTCTTTCCGAGGCGGCTCCGGAGCAGCCAAGCCCCTTCCCGACGTTAGTCAGTCCGAGGTGCCCCTCCCACTGACGGATGGCTAACGATCCTTTCCGCCCCCGCAACGGGCAGGAACAAGCCCAGAGCAACGAGACGCCTCGGCCTCGTCGGGTAGCAGCGCCTTACTTGCAGCGGCGGCTCCTCCTCCCTTCATTCCGCCGGCGCGGAACTTTACGCGGAGAACGGGTCAGGGAGATGCTAGAAGGGGCTGCACTTCCCGACTCTGGTCAGTGCGCTCCCGGAAGCTGCCGCGGCCGATCACCCGATCCCCGCGCGCTCTCCTCATTTCCGGATCATTTTGCCGCCCCCATCGCTCGCGTGCGGATTGGCTTTCTGTGATGGCAGGTTGGAGGAGCTAGTCGCGATGGTTCCGTCACGTGGGGCCAATAGGAGAGGGCGTAATGGCGCGCATGCGCGGCAGAAGTCCGGTTGGTGTCCTTGTGAGTCCCGCAGGTCTGCTTTGGGATTCTGAGCGGGCAGGATGTTGGCGGCTGCGCTGGGCCTTGCCCGCGCCGGGCTGAGAGGTGAGTTTACATCTGGACTGCTCCTTTCTTTGAAGTAGCGGGCGAGCTTTCTTCATTCAGTTGGAGCTGCGTCCGTTGCCTCTGCAAGCTAGGGGTTGTCCCCGCTGTTGTCGCCGGTGGGTATATCGTCTTTTCACCCTCTCCTAGGGAATCCTGGGAACTGTAGTTCTTTGAGGCGATGCAGGAAGGATCGGCAGAGTTTTCTCGGCGCCATCACAGAACGACAATTCCCGAGATCCTCGGGGTGAAGCCATGATGGTTACAATAGCGCAGAATAGTTTGTATTATGGATGCGCCCTTGTATTCAAGAAATTCGAGGAAGATTGAGACTTGGAAGGACAGCAATAAAGGAACCGGAAATGATTATCAAGTGTAAAGACCTTTCACTGGAGACCAAGGCCGAGATCTTCCACATTATTGTTTTCCTGATCACCATGTATGCGTATGAAAGCTGCACAGTGAAGAAAGCTGACAGTGGGAAAATCGATGCATTTGAAACATAGTGCTGCAGGAGAGCTTTGTGAATACCATGGACTGACAGAAAGATGAATAAGAAGGTCCTAGATCAAATCAACTAGAGCTTTTCTGAAAAGCAAAATTGACAAAGCTGAGGCTGTCATGTTTTGGGCATGTTATGAGAAGGCATAATTCCCCAGAGAAGATAATCATGCCTGGAATTTACAAGAACTGAAGAGGGTTGTCATGGATAGGACATTTTTAAGAGCATTTACTCATAGGGTCAGCATAAGTTGGACACCATTTGACAGCACTTGACAACAACCTTAGTAATTTGGCACTGCTTTGTTAATCATCTTGTTCTAAGATTTTCAGCTTCCTGCATTTTCCTCCATGAGATAACCCCCTGTTTAGATTAGATTCTGCATATCTCAGATAAATGTATGGGCTGCAAGTGTTTTTGTTTTTTTAATCTATGTGTTTTAAATCCTATGGCTTCTTTGTGAGTTTTCAGTGCAGTTTTCTCTTGTATTGAGAGAGCTGACTCATATTCTTAAAACATAGCTACATAAAAACGATATCTGCTTGGGAATTCATGTATAACACATATGAAGACATTGTTCATTACAGTCAGTACAATAACTCCTGCATGAAAATACCTTGTGACTAGAAATTTGTAAAATCTGAAGCAGGCCTGAATTTTAGCAAGTGTTTGGATGAATATTTGAGGCACTTGAATATAAATCTCATGTCTGCTCAGTGACTTCTTGTTGAGAGGAGACTGGCAGATAGGAAGAAACTAAGGGAACACTCAGTTTCAATTCATCATCCTAGATGAGAGTATCTTGGCTTTCATCAAATGGTTTCCTTTTGTTATGGGAGCATACATCTCTGGTGAACCAAATAGCTCTTCCCCCTGCAGCCCCAGTGCATCTTCTTGGAGGACTGGGGGACCTGCAAGGTATTTGGGGGCTGCAGTGGAAAGGAAAATGCCTGTTGCACATGCATGTATAATGATGTATCCCATAACTGGAGTCCTGTTCACAAGTTGGGCCACTTAAATACCAATGACGTCTCAGTCACTCTATGAAAAAAGTTTGATGAAATACTTTGATCATTTGAGTACATTTTAATGACATTCTTTGTGGAGAAGATAACTCTCTTTCCTAGCAAGAAAATACGTCAATAAAATTCAAGCAATTTAACAGACCCTTTGCTTTCTTTATAGCAGCTGGCCGTCCCGCAATGCTACTGCAAGCTCGGTTTGAAGGGAATACTACTGCTGAGACTCAGCGTAAGTCTGAGTTGTTTCATCTTTGACCAGCATCTCATTTACAGTACAATGAATGGCAGTTTTGTTCGATCGAAGCTATGTTCTGCCTCAAGCACAAAGAACCTTTTTCAGCCCAAGAGCTGAATTCAAACCTGGGGAAGGTGTCGGGGGCCGCATGCCATCTGCTGGGCAAAAACAAAGCTGGTAGGGCTAAAATGTGATTATGATCAATATTAAGCCTACTCAAGAAAGCAGGCAAGGCTTGCCCATGCCCACGCCCACGCCCACTCAGCAGCATTTTCAAGTAATATCCCAAGCAGTGAGTCTTTCAAGGTCTACTCAAAATAAGCACAATCAGCATGTCTACTCAGATGTAAGCAGGGCACACTTACCTATTTATTCACATGGGGAACATAAGGCAAGCCATACAAGTAAGCAGGACAGCTTCTGCCCCAGTCTGCCCTGTCCTTGGGTAGGAAAAACCTCTTATCTTCAGTGGGCTGTTTGAGAGGTGGCAGGGCCTGAGGAAGAAGTTGGAGAGCTGGATGGGGAACCCTCATGGACTGTGTTGAGTGGGCAGGCTGGAGTTTTCCCCATCCCTGTTCTACCTAATCCAGAATCCTAGCTTTAGCAAAGCACAGGGTTGGATATTAGAGAGGACTTTCTAGGTATTCTGCTCCATTCACTTTTAAACTCCTGGTAGCCTAATTTAGAACCGGGTTTCCAGTCCTTGCTCCTCATTTGTTGTTGAACTACAATTCCCATCACCCCAATCCATGGCCATGTGCTTTGTAATCCAACAATATTTTGAGATATGGGGTGAGGAGTTACCTGTTTAGAGTCAACTGCTTTACTGATACTGAAAGTTTACCTAGTTTTATGTTACTTGTCAGATATATACTGTAGAGATAACCTACAGGACTAATATTTCTAATAGTGACATAATGCCAGCTTGACATTTAAAGAGCCTCAGCAGAAAAGTAATACTGGTAAAGTAGCCATATGCTGTCTAATATCTGCAGTTATTTTGACATCTCTTTCTAGTGTGATGAATAGCTTAATCCTTAAAATGTTTACTTGGAAATAAATCCCACTGAGGATGAAGGAAGGTGACCTTTACGGAGTAGTATATTACTTTCTGTGGACTTCAAAGAATGTGAAAAGCTGGAGGCTTCTGGCATCTCCATTCAGGGATGAGAGTTTTACTGATTCTCTGGATTTCAGTTCAGCAGTAGATGCTTGATAAAATTCTGCTCAGATATGGAAAGGCAGACATTACAATTAGCTGCTCATATGATAATGTTTATAGTGCTGTGCTGGATGGGCACTTTTGTATTTACCCGGATTACAGTGTGATTGAGAGTTTGATATACATGGGGATTCTCTGAATGCATTGTAGTCTCTTTCCTGGTTTTGACTCTGTTCTCTTCCTCCTAGAATTTGTAGATGTACTAAAAGACTGTGCATCACATTAGGAATAACAGTATAGAGTACGGTGGTCCTTAAAGGCTTAACACATAAGCTTTCATGGACTACAGTCTGCTTCTAATATGAAATATTATCCTGAATTGCAACTGCAGACATGTTTGGGATTGTAAACAGTTCAGAGGAAAATGAGATGCAAAAAGTTCATGCAGTACTAATGTTATTAATTATGCTTGGTTGGTTGGTGGTAACAAAGGCCTCTTGATACATATGTAGTGTGAATTTAAAAAGAGCCAGCTTTGGTCACAAACCATTCTTATCCCTGTGGTGATTCAAAGACAGTTGGATTTGCATTGAGCTTCTTTTGGATGTGCACTGACATTGGGCTTTCTATAAGTTACTACTATGACTTCCTTTTTAGCCACTGTTAGGCCAAAGGATGATGTGACACAGAAGCAACTGAGTGCTTTTGGAGAATATGTGGCCGAGATTCTACCCAAGTATGTTCAACAAGTCCAGGTGGGTTCCTACTAACCATATAATTTTGTCTTAAAGCTATAGTAGGAAGTATCAGAACTCTTTTGGAAAGTAATGTGTGCTAGGCTGAGCTGGAAGGATGACAGAAAGTACCTTTCTTCATTGTTACGTACCATGAGGCTTTTTCATTTGAACCTCTTTCCATGTTAAACACATTCTTTGGAAATTGTTCCATTGATTTGATTGGGAGTTAAAGACATATCAATGTTCTCAGGATTGCAAATTTTAATGATGACAATCTTTTCAACATAGTACTATTTTTCTCCCTATCAGGTGACATGTTTCAATGAGCTGGAAATCTTAATCCACCCAGATGGGATAATTCCAGTTCTCAGCTTTCTGAAAGACCACACAACTGCCCAGTTCAAATCCTTAGCTGATCTGACAGCAATTGATGTTCCTTCTCGACAGTACCGCTTTGAGGTAGGAGTTGTTCTTCAAGATACTCTATAAAGAGTTTGCCACTCCTCCCAAGATCAAAATGGCTAAGCAAAACAGTGAGATAGCCCTCTAGCATCTTCTCATGCTGGCTGTCTCTCTCTCTCTGGTTATGCTTGCTGGCCTCTAGTGTGCCATTTCTGAATTTTCATGTCTCTTAATGGTTGTGCCAAGCATGCTGTCCTAGCTTTCTTTCTGCAGTTCTGTGTAGTCATTGTTCCAGGAATAGGTATCATGCTTAACATTGTGCAAGGTGCCATGTTAGTGGTATTTGTTTAGTGAGAAACAAACAAAAAAGTTCCTTGATCATCGTTGAGAGTTGTCTGGGGGAAGCGCAGTTCCTTTTTTCAGAAGGTGTTGTAAGATGCTAAGAAGAGCTGCTTCTAAATATAACTGAAAAGGCATTCATTTGACAGCACGAAATCTATATTTTGCCCGCATGACCCTGCTAGATGCAGTTGACAGCCCTTTCCGATCCAGCTGAATTATTTCTGCTTTTCTTTTAGCAGAGGTCATGTTACAATACTCAGTGATATAAATGTCTTAATAGGTCAACCTAATTATAGCAGTTCAAATTCTCCTCTAGCTTAAAGAGGTTTAATCAGTGTAACATTTGCTTATTTGCTTAATTTAAGCTGGTGTTACATCCCATCTGCCAAGATAGGGGTTTGTAGTTTTTCTGGATACACTATCACAGGCTTCTTTGACAGATGCATTGAGGTTCCACCCTTAAAGGCAGCTTAAAAACAAAGACAGCCTAGAGAGAAACACAATCAGTACACATAGCTTGTTCCACTGTTTAAAGACCTTTCATGAATATATATGGCTTCAGTATGAAAGAGGAAAAGAGGAGAGTTTGGGATTTGTTATTTAATGGCCATTCCATATTCCTAGAGGCAATACCCAACCACTGCTCTGCTTATACTACTGAAGTGCTGCTGGCATAAGTAATCTCTACTGGCAATACTAAAAGTTGGTCTGATGGGTTTACCCAGCAAACTCATTGCACCAGTGCAGGCTGTTTTGGTTACTTACGCTGGTATTACATCAGTAGCATAAACAGACCAAGAAGGTTGGGTACTGCCCTAGGTATCTTCCTTAATATCAGTAGGAGCAATCACCACAGTAAAATACACTTATTCCCTCCATCTTTGGCATACCTAGGCAGACAGCTTGTTTCATAGCTTATGCCTTTTTGTCTCAGAATACTACACTGTAGGCTTTGTTTATTCTCCCTCACTCCCTCTATTGTCAAGATTCTGAAAACCCCTTTTATTTCTCCTTCCACTGTCCGAAGTTTTCTTCAGCTGGAGCAAAACAGTGAGTCTAGGATACAGTGCAAGGCATCACTTTGTGAAAACTCAAAACAGTAAGCACTGGCTCTCTTCTGTTTTTTGGGGCAGTGCATCACATGGTGTGTGTGTGTATGTATGTATTGGATGTGTGGCCTGCTTTTTTCTTTTTTTAAAGAATTTAAAGCAGTTTAATCATTTTCCTGCTGCTGTTTTCAGTCTTATCTTCACAACAACAACCCTGTTAGCCGAGAGTCTGACTGGCCCAAAGTCACCCAGCTGGCTCCATGGCTGAGTAGGGACTAGAACCCAGACTGCCTGAGTCCTGGTCCAACACTCTTAACCTGTACACCACACTGGCTGTCATGGCTGCTTTCAATGTTTCAGGGATAATATGAAGCTCACATAATAGTTTTATGATTGCACCACTTTTAGAATGTACTTTTGATTAGCTTCCACTTTCCAGGATTCTCATTGTATGCGCTTTTTTCTTAGAAGTTGGTGAATGAATTAGTTTTCATAATTAAATAGCCTGTAGTTTTAATCATACCACTGTTCAGTATGTTCTGAGCATTCATAATCCATATCTTCAGTGAAGAAAATAGTTAGCATCTAAGCATCTTCCTGTACCAGAGCTGGAGATTACTCAAACTGCATTATGCAGTATGTCTGTCCTTCTAAAGTCCAGTTCAAATACCTTGACAGTGTTTCTAACTGGCTGGGCCATATGGGGAGAGAAAAGCCTCTCTCTGAGTCCTTGGTCAGAAAGCTCAGGCATGTCCTAACTAACTTAGAAGAAAATAGTGCTTATTAACAGAAGAGCTTTTGCAAAAACAGAAGGGAATGACAGGATACATTAGACAGCAGTACAATGCAAACTGTAACACTGTCCTGCTTAAATGGCACGCTTGCTGCCACGTAGGGTTCCCAAGGAATGCCTCGTGGTGGGGGAGCCAGGTCCGCAGTGTTAGCACATCCAGCCTCTGACAGAGGAGCCAAACCTTCTGCAGCCTTTTATCAGGGCTAGCCAAGAGAGGAGAGGAAAGGCATAATTAGACTGGAATATGAAAGGGGAGTGCTCTTAATTGAGGGGGGAAATACTTGCTCCAGTTCCAACAAGCAAATCGTCTGAAAAGAAGCCTGCCAGATGAAACCCAGCATGGGAAAACAGGCCGGTGCCACACTTCCTTTCCCTGGGAGGAAGACAGATGCCAAATTATTTGTTACATAATAAAGAAATCTTGTCTGAATTATTTAAACCATTATCTTGTATATGACTTAATTTGTATTATTAGATTATACACAAAGATCTAACACTGGGAGTTACTAGTTGTCTTCCTTCATTAGGAAAGGCAGGATATGAATTTCTTTGGTATGCTTGATTGGCCTTGAGTGTATATATTTACATCTGATTAACTATGCATAGGATTGCATTATAATCTTATTTTGGGGTTTTTAAAAAGTTATATCATCCCTGAACAACGGTTTCATACCAGGATCTCACTGGATGTAATAATAAATGATTTTTATAATCTCTAAGAAGATGTTGTTCTCTTCATTTTTTTTCCTTCCAGGCTATGGTGCTGCCACTCAAAATTTGATCAGATGGTTTAAAATTGAGAAATTTTGACTAGATAGCTTTCAGAGCAGAATAACAAATATGATACAAGCTTTTATTTTTTTCTTCTGAATGGTGCTACAGAATGTTTACTATTTTTTCTCACTGCCGACTGGTTTAAATTTTTTGAGGAGATGAGGTGTATAATGAGTAAGGAAGACTGATTTTTACTGAAAAAATAAAAATACTGTAGCTGTAATATGGTGTAGTGGTAATTGCCTTAAAACTTTCCTTTTAAAACTGAGACAAACTATTTCTGTTTTTAACCATTTATTTATTTTCTCCTTAGATTATCTACAATCTCCTTTCCCTAAGGTACAACTCCCGAATTCGTGTGAAAACCTATACTGATGAATTGACGCCTCTGGATTCGGCCTTTCCAATTTACAATGCAGCAAACTGGTATGAAAGAGAGGTAAGCACCAGAGATGCTGACATTTAGGATGAGGGGAAGAGTTGGTTTCCTTTCCAAACAGAATGAGAGTGCATGATCTCATTTGAGATGAGCCAAATTCCAGTGGTTAGCATTATTTAAAAGGTCCCCCTGGTTCTGGCATTTTTCTGTGCGGGCATCTTATTTGCAGAGCTTGCGTTCTGGCCCTTGCAGCTAGAGAAGACTCGTGGACCTTCTAGAAATTGGTCAGTGCTCTTTCCTCCCCATGTTTTTGTAAAATGGTGTATAAATTCTTGCTAACAGGAATATACTTGAATAATTTGTGTTCGTAATTTGTTGATTAAATACAGTGTAGTCCAATCTACCCCAATCTGCACTATGTTAACTTGATCCAGAATCTAAAAATCTCCAGCTTGTCCAAGTGAGCATTTTAAAAACGTAAGGATACACTGTGGAACTTAACAAGTAATTATTTTTTCTCAGCCTGTTTCATATACATCTTTTGCTTTAGCCTATCTAGACCAGGAAGGTATAACAATACAGTTATTACTGGAGGAACTGACACATGCAATGTGGAGGAGTAGAAAGCAGGCCTGAAGAGTTGTCAGAGCCACACTTGGGTGCCACCTGCCCTCAGCCTCACCATCCACCCTGGTTCTTTTATCGGGACAGATTGTAACATTAACTTTAACTTTCAGGTTAAGGACTCTTTGTCACAGTGGGAAGGTATCCAGTTCCCATCTCAACATGTATTCTGTGTAACTTGGAAGTCACTTTTACCAACAGAAGTTGATCGGTTGAAGCAACTGCTAATCCTGAGATTCTTCATACTTGGCTTGGAAAGTGCTCTGTCGCTGTTATTGCTGGAAATGTTACTTAAGCTAATGACTGACTCTGTCCCAAATCTCAGCCACTTGTGAGTTGAGCCCCACTTATTGCCTATAGGTATTCTTCACCCCCAGCCTAGCAATGAATCCACTGTGCTTCATTTAAGAGGTCATTTTCTACATCACAGACCAATGAGCCAGGTGTATTCAGTCTTAACCATCTACTGATTTGATTCCCACACCTCTAGGTCTGGGACATGTATGGAGTTTTCTTTGCTAACCACCCTGATCTGAGGCGAATCCTCACAGACTATGGGTTTGAAGGCCACCCCTTCCGGAAGGACTTCCCCCTCTCTGGATATGTGGAGGTATGAACATCTGTAAAAGCTAGACAGATAACTGCAGAGTCCTTTCATAGCTTTGCAGCCGGGGTACTGTATTCAGGAGAATGGAAACCAGAACGAGCCATGATCTTTTATTCTGGCATACAGGCAGAGCTCAACCTCCTCTCTTCTGTTTGAAAAAAGGGTCAGTAAGTTTGATGTCTCCTTTGAGTAGGAGGCTTATCCCACATGCAGGACACAGCCTCAGTGGCAAGAATAACTCCTAGAACAACAGTATAACATGCAACAGTAAAGTCATTGATCAAGTGGGGCTAAGGAACAAATATGAGAGAAGGAATTCCTTGCTGTCTGTCTGGAGACCCATCATTTGGAGAGAAACCATTTGGTGGAGCTAGTGACTTCAAAATCTTGGAAACATGGATGAAGATACAGACATGCTATCTGCATTCCTCTGGACCAAAGGCAAATAGGAAGAACCTGATGATAATGTCAGAGTTTCTCTTTGGAGTGAACTGGATTTGGGAAAAGTTTGACAGGACAATCTTCTCACTCCTTTGGTCAAACTGGTCTTGACTATGAGCGATGGATTTGTATAGAATACAAGCCTGTTGTCATGAAACGAAATAGTTATTTTCGGCCAGCGAGGCCCTTGAACCCCCACCTAACCTTCCTGATAGAAATAAGCATGACAAAGAGCACCATTTTCCAGGTTAGCTGTCAAGGAAGATTGTCCACAGATGTTCAGAAGAAGGGCCCATCAGAGCTTTCGGGTCTAATGAAACATCCCGAGTGGGATCTTGAAGGATGCAAGGATTAGGTGATGGAAGAGAGAAAGGATGAATTAACAAAAATAGGCTTGCCCAAAATCATTATTGAGAGATAGTGATTTGTCTTGTAAGAAAGTTGGGTACCAAGGCCTTGGTCAGACGTCTCGAAGAACAATTAAGATGCCCAGAAGAGAGGCAATGTGGACTGAAGTCATTTTCTCTTACATCTGTGGGTGACTTTCTATGTCTTTTTGTAAATCTGGGATCATCTGTTAGAGGCCAGAAGGTGGTTGATTGCTTTCCCTCTAGACTCCTGAGTCTTAACGGCTATTGCTATTTAGTTTCTCGGCATCAAGGAATGAATTGGATAGAAGATTGAGAGAAAAGATCTAGTGAGATCAGGAGGAGCCAAGGGGTTAGATTCTTGATTTCAATTATGGCTGAGAAGTTTGGTCTATTAGACTACTATTACAGCTACTGCTATGATTATTATTACATTGCACTCTATCTCACCATTTTATCTCATGTGAGGAACCCAGGGCAGCTTACACGGCAGCTTATTCTCACCATCACATCCCTGTGAGGTGGGCTGGACTGGGAGTTACTTCATGGCCAAGTGGGGTCTAGAACCGAAATCCATCAGGCCTCTATTCCAACCCTTTAACCAACATACCACACCGTCTAGATGGGGCTTCCTGGATGATTTCTACCCAAACAGCCTGTTTCTTGTGTAGGACCCTCAAGAGAGGAGGGGGTGGGAATTGGCTTATAGAAAGGTGGGAGGTCACCAAACAAATAGTGAGCTAATTACTTTGGCTCTCTGTTCCTGGAGAGGTGAGCCATTCTGGCATTCCACTTGTCCCAAGGAAGGAATCAACACTTGGACAGTCCAGGTGAAAAATAATCCACCAAATGCAAATCACTTCCCTGTTTGAGTACGTTGAAGCTTAATCTTTCTGTCTGTACCTTGAGAAAGCCTTGGTGTGCACTACAGAGAATGAGGAGAAATTGCTCTGCCCAGGAGTACAGTGGAGCTCTACCTGAATTAACCTGCTCATCCTGGTGCCCCTTTTATTTTTATCATTTGCTCTTTGTTAGCTTGGAAGCAAAAATGATGAATTGAAGCTGTCATACTTTGGATACATGATGAGAAGGCAAGACTTGCTGAGAAGGCAATAGTGCTGGGGAGAATTGATGGTAGAAATGGAAGAGCAACTATGAGCTGGATTGACTCCATGAGGAAGACCACAGCCTTGATTTTACAAGAGCTGAGCAGGGCTGTCAAGGACAGGACATTTCAGAGGATCCTCATTCATAGGGGTGCCATAAGTCGGAGGCAACTTGATGGAACCTAACCACAAAACCTGCAGCCTGACCCTATGTTGTGCTGGTGACCAACTTCACTTATCTATAGGACATGATTTGTTAGGCCTAGTTGCTGCTTACAGTAGAAGCATAACCTATTACCTGCCCGGGAATGTAGAATTTTCCTCTGAAGAAGCAGTTGGGTAAATAAAGCATTGGTCTTGTTGTTATTGCAGGAGGATGGGATTGTCCTGTGAGGCTAACACAACTGCTCTCAAATACCAGAAGCTCACTTGAATGAAAAAATATTTTTCAGCCTAGACAGTACACTGCAACATTGTCCGGTTTCATTTGAAAGTCCTTGGAGGACATGAACAAGGCAACTATTGCATGAGGGCTGCAAGCAAGTTAGAGAAAATTTAACTGGTCATTGATTTTGGTTGATAGCTAATTTTAAATTTGTATATTAGTAAAAATATTTCTGAATGGAGAGAAATGTTTTGTTTTTAAGATGATGTACATATGTCTTGTAGGAGACATATTCACATTTTTCCTGTGAATGAAAATGAGAAAGGAGATTGCCTTCAAAAGCAAACTGAGTCAGGGTTCTTTTGCAGACTTAGGTCTCTAAAGCAGGCCGTAGTGTACACATTTCTTAAAAATGCTAAAGAAATTGCACGAAATTAGTTGATTTGTACAAATTAGAACCCCAAAAGCACACTGTCCTAGCGCAATTTATTTATTGAAAATGTTTATATACCACCAAACAACATCTCATTTTATATATTCCCTGTTTATATATTCCCCAAACAGCATCCCATTTTGGGGAAATTGTATTAGGTGCATGTTTGTTTCTTGTTCCACTTTGCATAGATTGGCTGATTTTGCACACATCACACTTGGGACCACATGGTTTCCATGTTTTGATTTGTGCAAAGTAGCTGTATTTTATACAGAATCTTTTCATTTTTTTTAGTGAATTGGTGCCAGCACAGAGCTTTCAGAGTAGAATCCAGGGGGTTGAGTTATGGAACTTCATCAGATTTTCGCTCACGTCATATTCCTTGCGCATCCTTAGTGCTTTCCATGTGTAATTTTACTATGCTTGTGTTAAATATAAAGAAATACAGATTTAAAATCTGTCCCATAACTAGGGGCATTCTTAAAGGTTCCAATCCTATGCTATGCCTATAGGTAGAAGTAAGTCTCACTGAACTCAGTGGAACTTACTTCTGAATAGATCAGTAATGGAATGTGGTATAAAGGTTTTTAGTCAATTACAAATCAAAGCCTGTCTTTGTTTTCCTGATGGAAAAAAGTTCAGTGTGAGGAAGGCAGAGTTAGTGAGGAGGACTTGCTGGGTAGGGAGGTGGACAGAAGGAATCCAATTAATAGCTGGGCATAGACACAACTGCTGTTTGCAGAGTTGGCTTGAAACTATCTGCAGATAAACTCAGCAGTCACTTCTTGGCCAAGAAATGAATTGTGCCTGGTGCATTCAGATGGAATGGCACATGTCAGTTTGCTGAGTGTGAGGAGCATTGGGCTTGCTCACATTATCGCTTCCTCTACACCCAGGGAGAGGACATAAGAATTCCTATCCTGATCAGTGGCAAACTATAGTTTGTTGTGCTATCCAGAGATGGTCAACTGTAGTTTGCTGTTAACCAGATGAACTGCAAGGAGAGAAGACTTTGAATTGAGACACCCTATGTATGTCTTATCAGTCTTCCTTGGATCTTCCAGAAGTCCACACAATTGCTGTTTCTAGTCTCTCTTCTTGCTCCCTACTTGCTCATTTGCTGGCTTCTAGAACATTGTGCTTTGACTTTTAATACTGCAGTCCTAATTTAAGTATTATATATGCTTTATTAAAATAGCATGAAGTTGAGGATGAGGATAAAGAGGAGAAACATTCCTCTAGGTGACAGTAAGGCTTTGGTTCTGATGAGAGGGATACATTCATTGTATTGGTCAAGAGGATTTTGGTATGATAGTGGGATGGTAACTAACCTGCCTGTGTGGGAGAAACAAAAATGACTTAAAATCTAAGGTACTTTGTTGGAGCTGACATGTATAATTTTTTGCTCACATTAGTACTCTTTGCCCCTTTCAGGTCAGGTATGATGATGAAGTGAAGCGTGTGGTGGCGGAGCCTTTGGAGCTGGCACAGGAGTTCCGCAAATTCGATCTGAATAGTCCCTGGGAGACTTTCCCTGCCTTTCGGCAAGCTCCAGAAACATTGAAGTTAGACACAGGAGAGAAGAAAGAAGATGTTAAATAGTGGTAGGAGGGAGACAAAACTGGAAACATTCCTGAGTCGTTGCCTTCCTGTTTGATCTCAGTATTTATATATAATAAAATATCAATAAAATCTTCTCTGCCTGGTACATGGAGGAAATGCAGATTTTAGGGTTGTGAAAAGAGCATAAAGTGAAATTAATCTCTAAGTGATTTTTTAGCATGTCCTTAAGTCATCGGGTTTGTGGAAGAGCTTTGGAGATTCAAGGTAACATGCGTTAGCAACGGAAGATGAGAAAGATATAAACAGAAGAAAATGAGCACTGTGAGAGTGGTGGATTCAGCTTCTCTTCAGGAGCGAAACAAAAGGAAGGAGATTTTCTATGCTTTGAGACTATTATTATTATTATTATTATTATTATTATTATTATTATAACATTTCTATGCTGCCCCTTGCCGAAGCCTCGGGGTGGCTTACAACACAATAAGATACATTGAAATACAATAGAACATAATAAATTACCAATAAATACAAAAATACACTGAGATACAATAATATAAAATTAAAATTAACAGTATAAAATAAGCAAATAAAGAATATAGGAGGAGGAAAGAGAAGGAAGAGGAAGTTGCCCTGGCCAGATCATATATTTTAACAATTAAAATGATGTTTAAATAAAAAGGTCTTTACCTGGCGCCGAAAAACCAGTAACGACGGTGCCAGGCGGACCTCTTTGGGGAGTGAATTCCATAGGTTGGGTGCCACCGCATAGAAAGTCCTCCTTCGAGTACGTACTCTCCTAATTTCTTTCATGGAGGGTTCCCGGAGAAGGGACTCTCCCGCAGATCTCAAGGGGCGGTCGGGCATATACGGACGTAAGCGCTCGTTCAGGTAGCCAGGACCCAAGCCGTTTAGGGCTTTATAGGTCATAACCAACACCTTGAATTGGGCCCGGGCTTCAATGGGAAGCCAGTGAAGCTGACGGAGGACTGGAGTCATGTGAGCATAACGCCCCGTCCCCGTCAGCAACCTGGCAGCTCTATTTTGCACCAATTGAAGTGTTCGGACCGTCTTCAGGGGAAGCCCCATGTAAAGCGTGTTACAGAAGTCTAGGCGGGAAGTCACCAGCGCGTGTGTCACCGTCGCCAGGCAGTCGTACTCCAGGTAGGGGCGCAGCTGATTAATCAGCCAAAGCTGAAGGAAGGTGCTCCTCGCCACTGCTGTCACCTGAGCTTCCAAAGAAAGCTCCGGGTCGAGGAGTACTCCCAAGCTGCGGACCTTGTCCCTAAGAGGGAGTGTTGCACCATTCAGGACCAGGTCAAATCCACCCTCTCTGAAGCCCGATCCGCCAACCAACAGGACCTCCGTCTTGTCTGGGTTGAGTTTCAGTTTGTTGGCCCTCATCCATTCCCTTACCTCGGCCAAGCACCGGTTCAGCACAGCCACTACCTCACCTGGATTAGTGGAAAACGAGAGGTAGACTATTAACTGTTTGCAAACATTGAGCCTCATAGGTGGTTTGGGTATCTTAAATAATATTCCCTAGCCAGTTGTGCTTGCTTGATAGCTTGCATAAGCACATGTCTCTAGCTGGGCAAGCAAGACGGGGAAGCATTCCATTGAATGAGCATGAGGTGGCCATCTTGGGAGTGGCCATATGAGGGTGCTTGAAGCATCCTCTCTCTGAGATGGCTGTCAGGCAGCAGCCACGCTGTGGAGGGCAACAGCTGACCACTCAGGAGGCTAGAACAACCAGCTCTGGATGGCGTGGCCCACTTGCTAGGGTAAGCAATGCATGTAGGTCTTGATTAGTGTGGATAACGATTCCTATGCAGTGGCTACATTATTTGAATTTGCACTATTCTGAGTTATATGTAAGGGGATGCAGGTGGCACAGTGGTTTAAACTGCTGTGCTGCTGGGCTGGTTGATCTAAAGGTTGCCGGTTCGAGTCTGCACAACTGGGTGAGTTCCTGTTGCTCCGTCCCGTCTCCTGCCAACCTTGCAGTTTGAAAGCATGCAAATGCAAGTAGATAAAAAGGTACCACTTTGGTGGGAAGCTAACAGTTCCGTGCACTTCGGTGTTTAGTCATGCCGGCCACATGACCATGGAGACTGTCTGCGGACAAACGCTGGCTCCCTCGGCTAGGAAACAGAGATGAGCACCGTCCCCTAGAGTCAGGCATGACTGGACTTAACGTCAAGGGGAAACCTTTACCTTTTTATCTTTTGGAGTTATATGTAAAATATGGTAATTGATTCCAGCTCAATGGAAATAGGCAATGAAAATTTTAAAATGTGGTTTTATACATTTATTAATGAAATATTACTGTAAAGGATAAACAGGGTATGCTTGCAATTTAAATGCATTGTTAATAAAGCAAAGAGTAGTTATAGAGAGCATCACTATTATACACACTCCTGAACTAGATGCTTTGTGCAGGGCAATAGAACATCACTGTAGTTTTTGGATGGCACAGCCGACTCTCAACTAGAAAGTGATATACTTAAAATACAGTTACTTTAATGGCACACTTCTTGTCTTGTGACGAACCACTGAAAGGATAAAATCTGCCTCTCTCGTCTCTGCCTGAACTGCTCTATTTTGCTGCTGTTTAAGTGTGCATGCACAAAATAATGGAGGATAAAGCCGTCTCCTACCTTTATTTTCTTAGGACTATGAAAAGGATGGAGTGGGAACTAGAGTTCTATCAACTGGTCTCTTGTACTCCCAGAAACGGGCACAGTGAGATTTTCAGGTCCTGGCCAGTGGAGTGGGGTCCTTACATCCTGACACCAGGCTAAGGGTTCCAGGCAGACAAGGAGCTTCAACCGCAATCAGCAGCTGTGGCAGGATCACCGATGGATGCAGCTTCTTTGCAGCAATCCCTCTAGACCAGGGGTCGGCAGCCTTGAACAGTCAAAGAGCCATCCATTTCCCACAGAAAAGAAAACACTGGGAGCCACAACGCTTTTGACATCTAAAATGAAGATAACACCGCATATATCGTTTTTTACCTTTATGCTATGTATAAAAAAACTAGTGTGTCGCATTTATGAAATCAATGAACTGCTACAGAGAAAGCAAATTTTTATTTCTGCATGCAACAAAAACATATTAAGCATACTGGTAAACCAGTCTCGTCAGCAGTGAAAGCAAATGAATCTGCCCACATACCATTAAACGTTCTGTTTTCTTCTGAAACTTTTCTTTTCTTGGATTTATCCATGGTTGGCCTACCGGAGGTCGAAAAGCTTAATAAATCGCGTGCCGGCGGGTGTCACACACTGGTGGTTGTGACGCATATTTTGAGCCACAGAGCCGCAGCAGAGGGATGAAAGAGCCACATGTGGCTCTGGAGCAGCGGGTTGCTGACCTCTGCTCTAGACAATCCCTCCAGGGTGCCCAGTCTGAGCCAGGGTGCCCAGTGTGCCGGAACAGGCACCATGGCTCAGACTGGGAGCACTAGTTCCTCTGGTGTCTCAGTGTGACCACAGCCTGGCTCCAGCTCTTTGGTGATGCCTCCTTGTTCAAGGCCCTGGCCAAGGCCCCGATGCTGGCCAAGCACCCTGCCTCAGCCGCAGCAGCAGCTGTGGGCACCAGTGCACAGGTCTTGCTTCTCACATATTAAGAGCCCCGGCCTTGAATTATGGAGCACTCTGCACAGTGTCAAGAGCTGTCGTTCTAGGAGCTGATTTAAAAACAACAGCAACAGGATTTCCAGTTTCACCTTTGACCTGTGCATTGTTTCAGAGAATTGGGTGATGGGTTTGTGTGTGTGTCTTGAAGCAGAATCAACCACTGTTGCAGGTGGAATACTGGCCGGGATAGCCCCTCTTGCCCATCACTGTTTGTGTGCTTGTGAGAAATGCAGTGGACCACCAAGTTGATACATTCCCAACATCCTCCCCCTGCATCCATCTGTTCACATGAAATTTGTGCCATATGCAGCAAATGTGCCCACAAACGTATGGCTTTATTACTCAGTGGGTGTGGGATATAAAGAAGACTGCTTCTTAAAAGTGGAGCAGTATGGCTTGTGAAACAGGTGTTCTAGTTGCACTTCTATTGCTAAAAAAAAGATAGCACCCAGGCTGAATGCTATGCAGAAGTGAGACATGTTCACTTTGATTAGTATTTAGTTTTATGTATGAGGAAAGAGAAGGGAACATGATCAGGTAACTGCAGAGCCCTTCCAGCAATAGATTCCTTTCTCCAGGGTCTGAGCCCAGGGCAATGTCTGGAATCCAGATGCTTACGTTTTGCCATCATTAATAATCATTATTCAGAAAACTGTAGCAGTTTGTGGGATTCCTAAGTCTCAACGGAGGCTATGCCAAAGCTCAGTGAAGAGGCCTGAGCAACTTGAATTGGCCATATGTGGAGATAATCAGTCACAGAATGCTGGAAGCTTTGTCTCTGAGGAAGTGGGTTGGGAGACTCTTCCCAAATATTTTCCTTTTTTGCAATTCATATGGAGCATTTGCTATTTTCTTTACAGTGAATATGCACCTTTGACTTTGATGTGCATTCCCTACTTACTCTGATGAATGACTGAAAGAGTCCATAATCTTCTCTAAAGAAGCTGCATTCACTTTCTGAATCCTACTTCATTATAATAAAGTTGCTTCCTTTTTTCAGACAAGCATGAATTCTTAGACTGGATTTAAGTGCAAACACAAGCCCTAGGCACTTGGTTTTCAGAAGGTTATGTAGGTTTAAAGTAGAGGTAAGCAAATTCAGGGGCCCGGAGGCCATATCCGCAGGGTGTTGCTAATTCTGCAGGGTGCCAGAGAAGAAAAAGGCTGTTTATTGCCACAATTCAGTGGCAAACTGGCGTGGTCTGACAACAAGTCAAATTTAGCTTGAGATCAAAAATAGCACATGCCAAGTTGAGGTAAATCTTGGGTCAGTTCACTGTTAAATGTGAGCAGTTCATTGCTTCACCTCTATTACTGCTTTTAATAGTGAAAAAGGGGAAAGAATTCAGGCTAAAGGCTTCAGTACTGAAAATGACTCCTTAAGCTGGTGAAAAGGTAGAGTGGGTAATGGTACTGTTGGGCTGCAGTATGTGATTGTTTTTGTAGGTGTTTGCAAATACATGCTTATGTGTAAATGAACGAGAGGGAGTGAAGAGAACATCCTTAGCTACAATGAGAAAGAGGCGCACTCTACCAGATGCATTCTTCCAGAAAATATTCTTGCCAAATTTTTAAAATACAAAGAAAGGCAGTTCAATTTCTGTACTGATATGGACTTGACTTTCTGAATTACCATAGAAGCCCAAGTGCCTGGCTTTTTATGCTGGCAAAGAGAAGAAAAATGATAGGTGCCTGTGTTATTCCCGAAACATTGTTTTTCTCAGAGTGGGCAAAGTCACATATCAAGTCTCCATTCCACAGAATCATAGACCATGATTCTCCCATTAACCTCTTTTGCAAGAAATTAAGGGACAGTAGGGGGAATGACATAGAAAATTCCTATGGATGCTCCCTCTGATTATAACAATGTTGAATCCATATTAGTGTGATCTCTTTATGCAATTAATCAAAAGATCACAAGGATGGTGCAAGGTTTTGAGATTCCCAGTTCTCCTTTTCAGGGAAAAATATGAAAAATCAGGATTTGGGTGGAGGAAGGGAGAAATATCTGACCCAATGCTACAGTCAGAGTATATATGTGTGCAGAGTCCCATAATGAAATAGGGTGCCAGAAGAGGTTTCCAGATAGTCAAATTAAGCTCTACAGGCTGTTTGATTGTTGAACCTGCAGCTGCATTAGGACTGCTGGAAATCAGAAAAGGAAAAATGCTGGATACTATATTTTGGAAATGTTGAATACAACTGTCGCTTAGATATTTCCATTCTGGGCAAAGGACACTGTCCTCTTTTACCAGCAGACAGCAACTAGCCAATCATTTTATTATTCAAGCTGGAGATAATTTTAGATGCTTTAAAAAAAGTCACTTGAAGCCAAATTTGGGGAATGAAGGGGGTTTGCAATCATAATAGGTTTGGCAGCAGTATATCAACACCTTAGCAGTGGTTGCCCAGTGCAGAGAGAATTGGCTAATGGAAAGCGTTGGGGTGGGGGGTGGTTCAAAAGGTCTATCCAAAGCCTCCCCCTTTAGACTGATGCAGAAGCCCTAGAGAAGTGACCTTTCTTTTCCCTAGTTATGCGGTGCCTGCAGAGATCTGCCAACTCCACCCTCCTCCGGCATGTAAGAGTTGCTCTTCCATTCCAATGCTGGAAAGCTTTCTGTTGCAGGACTGAAGCGAAGCCAAACTAGCAGTTGTCTGCTCCATTGTCTTCAGATGGCATCAATTGTCCTTTAAAGGAGGCCCAGTTTATGTCCATACATATTTTTACTCCCTGGCTTTTAGAAGCATGTTTCTTCCTTTTAAAGAGCAACGAAGCTAGCAGCCTTTTGGGGGAGAAGACAAAGAAACAACAGAGAGGCTTACAAGGGTGTGCCAAGAACAGAATAAGGAACAGCCTAGTGCTCCAAGAGGAAATAAACTGGACTTGCATTGGCAAAATTCTTTGAGTTTCTGAGCTGAAGGCTTCAAGTTCTTCTTTTTCTTCCTCTTCTTCTTCTTTTTTATTTTTGGAAAAAAAGATGAAAACTACCTTTTAGGAATTGGAAATTCAACTGCAAGCCCTTTCCAGGGATGGAATTGGAGGGAGGAAACTCTTCCAGCACTGACTTCTGGGACTGAAAGGAGAGGAGGGAAAGAGGCTGAAGTAAACAACATCAGTTTCACCCCATGTGTTTATCCGCAGAAGGGATACGGCTGCTCCCAGGCATGGCCCCGATTTTCCAGCTGAGCTTGGGAACCTGTCTGTGGGCAGCTCTGGCTCTCAGTCTGTTTACAGGATCCTGGGGACAGACAGGTAGGATGCCCGCCTGTGCTGGGAAAGGGAGCTTTGCAGTACATAGCCAAGGCATTCCTGTCATTGTTCGTGTAGTTGTTCAGCAAGAGAGGCTGGCTGTAAATCTACAAATATTTTGTGCCTAAAGGGAGTTTCATTCCAGACTAAAGATACGGGGTAAACCCTAAGAAGGGGTTGCTGTGCAATCAGTCACAGCTGAGATGAGAAAGGTTTGGCAAGTGACCATTGGCAGAGATGCTGCATTTACTAACATTTTCCCATATATGCAGAGTTTAAGATACTATAGACTTGTGCCAAACGGACCCCACCAATGTTAACAGAAGCAAGGAAGGGGACGAAATCCGCATTTTGCAAAGGCACCCTTTTTGCTTTCATAATGGAGGATCTATGCTTTTCCCATTTTCATGACCAAGTTTAACAGAAGAAGTTTTTCCCAACATGGAGTTTTAGTATTAGGAGAATTAACGCCTCTGGCTTTTCTGCCTCTTGCACAGCTGTAAATGACACAGAGGAAAAATAACAACTCTAGGAAAAGGAGGTTAATTTTTGCCATTGCCTATTTTTAAATGCACACACGCACGCACATGCATACCAGGAGCTGCAAGTGGCTTTTTTGTGTGCTTTCTTGGAGAACCCATTGGTGACAGTGGCTTATCTTGTTTAACATTCAGCATAAACATCTACTTGTGCAGGACGCTTCAGCACAACTTTTTCCTCTCCTAGAATTAATGGTTTGTTAGCATCATCTGGGAATTTTCCAGTAGTCTTAATACGAAGCTGGTAGATCTGAGAAATCTGTCAAGAGCAGATGCCTCACGAGATATGTATTTTGGAAACAGTATGTTTTGTTTCCATGCACTACTTCTAATGGGTTTGCTCCCCATTCCATTCCTGCTCTATTAACAGTGGCTGCATAGTTTTGGACTTAATAATTTCTGAGGGCTAGTCTGTCTCTCTTTCTCTCGCTCTCTTTCTCCCACTCTCCTTCTCTCCCCCTGTGCAACTGTGTGTGAGGGAGAGAGATTTCAATTTTCAAAAACCCTGCTAGTTTAAAAGACCAGATTAAAGCTAGCTCATGTTGGACCAAACTTCCAAAAGCCAGGAAACTGGAAGCCAAGACTGACGCCTGAACTGACGTGCTTTGCGATCAGTAATGATATTCTACAGTGTGTCAATTTGTGCTTGCTTATAATTTATCCTCCACGCACCCACACTTTTCCTTGGTCTTTCGGACCAAATCCGAATGGGGAGAGTGGAATATTGGGCACTAGTAAAGAAGTCGTACTTCGTTGGAGCAGTTAGAGCTGCTGTTCTCTGAACATTCTTTTTTTATAGATTTCCCCTAAATTTGCTTGCCTGCCATTAAATTTGCATCCATTTTCCAGTCCCCAAAACAGCATTTTTAGAACTGTCAGGGAACCAGAGTAATCACAGTAATCACTGTGCTCAGCTGCAGGGGACACCTTTGCCAGCCCCAGGAGGTTAATCCTGGCCAAAATCCCCTGCACCCACACAGAAGGAAGTTTCCATGAGTGCCAGGAGGTGCTTGCCTTCTGGGGCTAGTCCTACTGGAAGGGGAGGAGGGGACTTTTGAAAGGCGGCAGTGGGGAAAGTTAACTGTCTCTTCCCCAATTGCTACAGATGTTTATCAGGCTTACAGCAGGGAGGGCAGGGCTAACCCCCCCCCCCAGGTCCTGATGAAAATCCTCCTGTGCTGGTTACTGACAATTAAAAAGAAAGAAACCTGTGGTGCTTGAAGTAACATACTGAGCAGCTATCCAGCTTGACCCTGTGAGAGAAAACCAAAGAATGCCATATTTTGCAGAGCAAGAGACGCAGCCATGAAAGCGTGGTGCTTTCCAGTCCCTGCTGCAGGGCCAATGGAATAATATCTCTTTCCCATGATAGAAACCTTATCAGTTCAAGACTGTATTCCACAGCTCACCACCTGCTAAAAATATTAGTCATCGAATCAAATTATCTTTCTTTTGCACAATGTGCTTACACCTTCTGCCTGGAATCCCTCCAGGTCTGTCTCTCTGGATATCTGTTTCTGTAAAGTTTAAAGCACCAGAGGCTTGGGTCAGGAGCCTCAGTCTCAAGGGAAGGCTGGCCATTACAGAAGCAACAACTCTGTTTGGTCAAGCTTTCCTATTTCAGATTTCGTCACTTGTCATTTAAAACATGACGAGTTCTCTAGTTAAAGCACCTTTCACCAACCTGGTGCCCTCCAGGTGTTTTGGGCTTCAATGCCCATCAGTCCCAGTCAGCATGGCCAGTTGCTGAGGATTGTCTCCAAAACATCTGGTGTGCACAGGCGTGGGGAAGACTAAATTAAGGGATTTCCAGCTAAGACTGCCATCACATGCATAAGAAGTCACAGTGGAATGAGAAAACGTTTATAAGATAGTGCTGCATGACATGTGCACATGTGTATATAAATGTTTTAAAACAAGAACTACAATTTTAGCATAGATCCAAGTTTTTAAAAACGTAGTTTAATATTATAAAATCTATAATCAGTGCTTCAGCTGTTGGGCAGCACAGAAATTGAGTAAATTAATCAAATTACTTAAATATATATGCTATACATATTTAAAAACTGAAATGGCTTGAGATTAATCCCATTTTCCATGTGACCATCATCTAATGACTGTTTTTGCCATAAACTTACTTTTTAAAAGCTCATGGATGAAGTTAAAAATTATATTCTCACACTTAACAGGAATGTGGCTTGAAAGGATCTGTAAAGAAGTCTGTATTAAACTTTTGTTCTGCACCTTTAAATATAGACCAGCGTACTATGTATTTGTTTGCACTGTTGTGGAAGGACTGGATACACCTAATTAACATTGTAAAATCACTGAACTGACAGTTCTCCAGCTCAGTTTAAAATAGAGTAGTAAAAGGATGTCCTTTCCCACCAAAACTCAGTTGTCACTGCTTTTCTCCCCTTATCCCCATCCTAGGGCAGTGTTCACCCTTCTGGCCACTGCTTCACTCATCACCGACCACCATCCCAGTGATTCCCAACTAATAGTTACCCTCTGCTTTCGGTTTGTCAACCATGCCCAGATCCATTAGACAGTGCATCAGTCTATCCCAAAACTCCTCCATTTCTCAACCAGGCTATCATGCAGCACTTTGCCAAGGGCCTTGCTGAAATCCAGGTAAATCACATCCACTGCATCCCCTCCACCTAGCCACCTTGAAGCCTTGTCATAGAGTTCCACAGGGTGTATTTATGCATCTGTAAAAAATGTGTAGAGGTTTAACTAAATTTTACCTGCAGTTGGCTTGAGATCAGTCTCTCAGAAGAATGATTGTGAATGGATGGTGGCAATATGACAGAGTTTATGAGATAAATATTTGGAAGTAGGTACAGTTTTGCCAGTTCCTGTATGAATGTGGGGCTCTTGCTCCTCTACAAGGGTCACAGTGCAAGAAATTTTGAAATCCATTTTCATCTGCCATTCAGCTGTTAAATGCAATGAAATACCTTGCAGTGCCTGCTGTTTGCAGATCCATTTTTCAAAAAGGTGTTTGAAAGTTGTGTGGACAAGCCTAGTAAAGCATGAGATGTTTTCATTTTACCTTACTTTATTAGAATATTTATATCATACTTTTTTGGTCCCACAAGTCACGCTGGACTATGTATTAAGGAAAAATAAATGCAGGCCCAAAATAAGCTTAATCCGGAATCTCAGACATCTGGTATTGATCAAAGAGCCTGCAACCTGGGTGGAGGCACAGGCTTCCCTGAGCAAAAATGTGCACTCTCTTAATTCTCAAAGCAACTCCTGTGAGCTTTACTTTGCTTCATTGGGGAGAATTACTTTGGAATGGAACTCTGCAAGCTGTTTACAATCAGAACTGTTGCAGAATATTTATTACAGGCACCTGGCAGATCTAAAGCTTTGTTCAAAAAGTCCTTTTCCCCACCAAGCATAACTTGCACTCTCAGCTGTGAATTAAGTATCCTGAATTTTCATTTCAAGCTCTGTACCAGAAATGGAAAAACTTGGATCAGGAGCTCCCACTTGCTCTTTGACTCCATCAGTAGCCAGTATATTTGCATGGGCTGCTATCTGCATTTGATCTCCCAAGGAGCCATGCTGGATCCTTGTTTCTGAATGTGATGACATGGAATATTTTGGACGGTGCCAGTGTGGTCGAGTGCTTAGATTGCTGCGCTATGCCTGGGGAAACTTGTGTTCAAATCCCCACCTGGCCACAAAAATTACTGGGTACCTTTGGGCCAATCACTGGTCTTTAGACTAACCAACCTTACAGGGATGTTGTGAGGATAAAACAGGAAAGAGGAGGATCATGTTTGCTGCTTTAGCTTCCTTAGAGGAAATAGCAGGATATAAAAGTAACAAGGAAATAAGAAACAGGAAGATGCCACTCCATTTATGGTGGCAAAATTGGGAACAATTATACAAGAAGCTGGCAAAACCTAGATATCTTCTAAGTAGCTATGTCTATACTCATGCAACTGAATTGTTTTAGCTTGTGGGTTGTAACAAAGACATACAAACACAGAGCAAGAATATTAACCACTGAACTGGCTAAAGAAGAATTTCCATATAATAAAAATAAAAGACCGAAGAAGCTGTTGATAGAATTGAACACAGACAGTGGAAACAACATGCAAGAGCGTGAATCTGGGCAACTGCTGGACCATAAAACACACTGCTTCCCTTTCAGCAAACTTCCAGATACTTTCTGCAGTCACTGCAGTAAGCCCTGGTAGCTGTATCTGTGCCTGTGTGAATCTCGGCTAAGGGTTTCCTTGAGTTCTCAGAGAAGGTCAGGCCCAAAACCATCTTGCCTGTAGCTCCCACACACTGAAACAGGCCTTGGTCTGCCTATGGAGGGTGCTGCTGACGGTCGTATTGGAGCATTGGCTAATGAGGCTGCCAGCAGAAAGAGACGTTCGTTCTTGTGTGAAGTCCTGACTCATTTGCTCAGTTCTGTCAGTTTCTGCTTTCTACTTAGGGAGCTGAGGAAGACAGAATGCCTACAGAAAGGATTTTGCTGTGACGGGCCATCAAGTGGTCTCTGATTTGTGATGACCCCCTGAATGAATGCCCTCCAAAATGAACTGTCCTTGGCAGGACGCTCACCTCTTGTAAACTGAAAAAGAATTATACCTCATTGCAAGTAAACAAGGAAAAGTATTGTTCCTTTGGTCTGTGCAATCTTAATGGATTGCACCATTGCTTAAAATGTTACAGTGAAAGTGCTGTAACTGTGATTTTCACCCCATGTCAGTGTCTAGAAAGCCCTCAAACAATAAAATAGACACAGCGATGTATGTGAAAGGCAATGGGTGAAACAAATATTGCTTATAAAAACTTGGTAGCTGATTAGGGTTGTTGTTATTTTCCATTAATGTTTTGCAGATGAGCAACATTTCGGTGATCTTGCAGATGTGAACAAGAGGGAGAATGCAGACATCCTATTAGAGGTAATTTAAGACAAAGCAATAACACCAGAAATGACTCGGGGAACCCAATAGAGCCCTTTGGCGTAGAGTTGCCCTGTGCAGAGGCCCAGCTGTCCGTCCAATCCATGCTACCTGTACCATGGCAGTTCCAACCTCTGATGTGCAGCTGCCCCTATGAGTGATTTTGTGGGGGGCAGGAGGACAAAGAGGTGTCATCAGGTAATTGTAGACTCCAGATGCAATGGTCTTATGGCTGGGGAATGGGCTTGGCTCTTTACTCACTTTAAACTAAGATAGATCCGCTCTGCTGTGTTTGAGGACCCTCCTCATTCAGCCACGTGGGTCCCTGGAAAGGCACTGAGCTAAATGTGAAGATGATTGCCAAGTATCCTGGTGGGGCAGCAGTGGAAGGTCCCTGCAGGCTTGAGGCAAATATGCCAAGTATTCTCTGGAAGGGCTGGGCAACTTGAGGCTCTCCAATGGCCTATAATGCCCATCAGCCCTAGCCAGATGAGCCAATGCAAAGGGATGATAGGAACTGTGGCCCTCCAGATGTTTAGACCTACAGATTCCCCTGCCCACCATTCACCTTTACTTCCACTCAGACACGGAAGTTTCTGATAGGATAAATGGAACACCAGAGACACTCTGCCTTCATTTCCTCTAAAGAATGGTCCACAAGATGGCACCCTTTGGCTGTTTTGCCTATTAGACTGAAATAGCTGGCCCTGCTTTAGAAAAGGAAAGGATCTGAACAGCAGGCAAATCATGGGGGTTCAATGACTGAAAGTGAACACATTCATTACTGGGCTACTACGATAAAAATTACTGTTTACTGCGTACTAGTTTGGCTCCAGTATTTCATCCTTCAGAACTGGACTTTCTATTACTCTTTTAAATAAAGATTAAAATCGTACTTATTAAGTATATTTATACCCTGCCCAGAAGGTCATTATTGGTTTCATAAACCAGCCAGGAAAGCTTGCCCAAACTCAGCTTATTTTATTTATAATATAATATAATTGTATTATATTGTATTTTAATGGATTGCTGTAAAGCTTTGGCTACTGGGAGTTACAGAAGTTCAATAAATTGTATGTATGTATGTATCGCCCCCTCTTTTTTCCTGCAAGAGACCCAGTGCAGCTTACACAGTCCTTCTCCTCTTCATTTAATCCTCACAGCAAACCTGGGAGGCGGCGTAGGCTGGGAGTGAGTGACTGGCTCAAAGACACCCGGCGCTCTGCAGGGCTGAGTGGGTGCCAGTCTAATCCTCAAATCACTGTTCACTCATACAAGCACACACCCCGTGTGTCTGACTCTCTCTCTCAAACTAAGCGAGGCTGAGCGGAACCATTCTGTCTTGATATTTGGCCACCATCCATTTTTGGGTCTATGCCCACCAGCTGTTTTAAGGAGGTGCAGTCTTCACTGAATGCTCATGAGTTTACCCAGTCCCGGCTCCCGGTTTCGAAGGGTCCTTTGGCAAGGCGCCCTCCTTGGACCCCTCTCCTCAGCGGGTCTGCCTGCTCACCGGCATTGCCATCAGCGGCTGCCTTTGCTCCTCTTTCTTGCGGTTGTCACCACATGGCCCCCTGCCCCCTTCCAATTGTGTTCTTCTCTGATTCACTGGTTCTATGTGTGCTCGTAAGGCAGAGAGTGCCAGGAGGCAGTGGCATCTACTGCTCCTCTGGTACACCACCACCATTGTCTGGATCAGAGCAAAGCCAAGGTGAGCAAGCAGATGCAATGGGGAAAATGAGGAATAACTTTACAGGAATTTTGGAAGTGTGCCCTTGCTGGGTGTCACCAGCTACACCAGTCCCTGCTCCTGCTCCTGAGTTTAATGTAGCCCATACCAGAGCTCTCTGTTTGAAAGCTGGAAATGGAAATACAGGAACACAATCTTTCCAAGAGCAGAAGGATGTAGCATTAAATAATTATACAAAGGGGTAAATCCTGTCTCACATGCAGCAACATTATCACTTTGACCCATTGCTCTATCTATAGTTCAGTTGTCAAGCATAGGTTGACAACTGACACAGTGGAAAGCCTAGAGGTCCAAAGTGTGTGTAACAATGAGTAACATACCTGCAGACCAGGTTGGGATGAGGGTGGATCGGTGGCAGTCACAGAATCACAGGGTTAGAATGCAACTAATGTTTATTTAGTCCAACCTCTGGTCCAAAGGGGATTTTCTTATTCCCATTAACCTTAACTAGATTGTAGAGTGCTACGAACAGGAGCGTCCAAAGAGTTTTATGTATGCTTTTTAAAAATAAAATTTCACATGGTTCTAGAAACAGTCTAACACAATCTAGGTGATTCAAGCTACATGCTACAGCTGAAGTCAGTTTCTATGCTCTTGGTCACTAGCTGATCTACCCTGCATAAAATTTAATTTTCATCCCAAAATATGAAGCCTGAAGAGGGGGAAAATGAACTGACATTCATGTTTCTAATCATTATTTTTCAGTTACTTTGGGGAGGGATTGAAATTATGGCCAATGAGACAATCAAGATTCAGGATGAGGAGTTGGCCTCCCTGCGTCCTGCAAAGCGGTTACTCTGGATCCTTCAGCATGAGATTCCCAAGAATCCAACAGGAATTGAAGAGCACCTGGACTATCTCTCTCAGTCAGACACTCCTCTGACTGCAAAGGAATTTGAGCAGCTCATCTTCACCACTGTTTACTGTGCTTATCAGGTTCGCTCCATCCAAGGTCTAGAAAAAAACCTCTGGATCAACCTTTTCTCTCAGTTGGTCATTGAAATAACCCATGAACTCTGCAAACAATTCTGTCCCAAGGAATCTATGGATTCCATTCAGCTTCTAGCCTCCAGGCCCTGGCAGGAAATACCTGTCTATATCAGTGCACTGAAGAAGTTGTATCGATCCAGCCTAGTCACGACCCAAAGACATGCATAGAGGACAGATCTTGGCCCTACGACTCCGTGATATGCAGTTTTGTATGCAAAAGTCCTTTTCTGAATGTCTGTAGTATTACCTAGGAATGTGCCCAGAAATGCCACCTTTCCTGTTTCCTGTTAAAGAAAACGAGTGTTTTAGGAACCTCTTAGCTATACTTTTTGGGTTTATATGACTACTAGTTAGCTCATTGGTAAACCTCTAGGAATTCTGTCACTGCTTTCGCTATAGGATATGCAGCCCGGGTAGTATTTTACTTTTCTCGTTGGAACACTAGGATTGTGGTTCAGATTAAAATGGTGCTACATGCTGCTGGCCCTACTCAGCAGCTGGTGCTGGAGAAGACATGGTGGTTTGACATGTAGTGAAAATTACAAAGAAGTAGATCCATGTTAGCAGGAAGCTTTTGAGAAAACGCTGGTCAAGTGCCAAAGATGCCTTAACTAGCACTTGTCCATCATTTTTGTGAAAGCTTCCTGCTAGGTAAACAATCATTGCATTGGTGAACCGTTCTTATAGTAAGTATAGGATGTTCAGAAAAGAGGCTAGATTGAAAGATCCACTGGGATTCTTTCCAGGTCAGTGTTTCTTCCTGTAATAGGCAGACATGTTGCAAATATACTGGAAACTCCACTTCATCACACAAGGATGAGCTCCGCTATGTTTATCACCCTAGAAATTTGAAGGAAGGGGCAGGGGTTAGCCTGTTTAAAATGTGTTCTCCTCTCCCCACTGCTTTAACCGATCTCATATGCACGGCAGCTTGCTTGGCAGCATGCAGGAGCAGGAAATGCTTTGTGTGATAAGAACTGAGCTGTGGGCATCATAACTGTGTGTGGTATCAGTCCCTTGTGGGACCTCAGCTTGGAATGTATCATTAAGAAGGTGCCTTTAGATTGGACGTCTGCATGGAATTAGCTGATGTAGCTCATAAATACATGAGGCTAGGCTGTTGCATATGTTTAGCCAGAAACCTGCTATAATCTTTGATAGCTATTTTAAAACATGAATATGTAAACATGTGTATAATCTGAACCAAGAAATGCCTTCATATGACTCTTACCTTTTAACTAAATCATTCATTGCTTGTTTTCACACGGAACTGAATTTTAAGAGATGTCTGTGCTAAAATATCCAAGTTCTTACCAAGACAATGCAACTTTGGGTTGAATAAAATATGCTGATTAATGGAAGGGTGTCGGACATAGCAGTCCCATCATCTAAGCACTGGACAACACTGGATGCTGGCAGCAGAAATATATACACTGTAGAGGAACCTGACAAGGTCTGTCCTTTTCAATTACTACAGGCAACCACAATAGGACTGCCCAGTAGTGGAATGGAATGAAGTGGTGGGCAGAGTGCAGGACACGGAATAACAGGCACAAGTTACAGAAAGCCAGATTCCGGCTAGACATCAGGAAAGGTTTCCTGACTGTTAGAGCAGTAGAACAATGGAACCAATTACCCCAGGAGGGTATGGGCTCTCCCACACTAGAGGCATTCAAGATGCAACTGGAGAGCCATCTGAGAGGAATAGTTCAACTTGGAGTCCTGTACCGAGCAGGGTGCTGGACCCAGTGGGCCTCTGGCCCTTTCCAACTCTACTATTCTATAATTCTATGTAGCTGCAAAAAGAGCAAACTGTATTTTAGTTTGCATTAATAGAAGTATCACTTCCATATCATGTGAAGTACTAGTTCCCCTCTACTCAGCACAGGCCTCATCTGGAGTATCGCGTCCAGGGCTGGGCACTGCAGCTTAAGAAAGATGCAGGCAAGGTGGAAAGGGTTCAGAGGAAGGCAACAAGTATGATCAGGGGACTGGAAACAAAACCCTGTGGGAAGAGACTGAAATAACTGGGCTTGTGTAGGCTTGAGACTGAGGGATGCTATGATAGCACTCTTTGAGTACTTGAAAGGTTGTCACACAGAGGTGGATTTAGCTCTCTTCCTGGTATCTCGGAGTGCAGGACACAGAGTAACAGGTTCAAGTCACAGGAAGCCAGGTTCTGGCTGAACATCAGGGAGAACTTTCTGACTGTCAGAACAGTACAACAATGGAACCACTTTCCTAGGGAGCTTGTGGGTCCTTCCACACTAGATGCATTCAGGCTACAACTGGAGAGCCATGTGAGAGGGATAGTTTAACTTGGAGTCCTGCACTGAGCAGGGGGTTGGAACTGATGGCCCTCTGGCCACTTCCAACCCTAGTAGTCTATGATTCTATTAATTATAGAAAGTATATATTCACCTCCAAAGTCTATTATTCCTTTGGAAGCACATAACCTCACTGCTGAAGACTGCTACTACCAAGAGACTATCATGTGAACCACACACACACACACACACACACACACACACACACACACACAGAGAGAGAGAGAGAGAGAGAGAGAGAGAGAGAGAGAGAGAGAGAGAGAGAGATTTAATTGTTTTTTCAGAATGATTTTACTTTGGTGAGTTAAGTTAGGGCTTCTCTAAGTGAGGCAGGTAGCCTCCTGCTTTCTCGAGGCTGTTGCTTCCGTTATTTTCATGGGAGGATCACAGTGTCCTTCATGGGAGTTTTTTGTTTTTTTGTTTTTTCCTGGCAGTTTTCCTCTCTGTCCTTCTAAACGCACTTATAGTACACAGCACAAGATGGTATTGTGGTATAGTGTGGAATTATGAAAATATACTAGGCTTGAAAATACACAAGTGAATAATCGTGGTATTTAGGAGATACAGTGGTACCTCGGCTCATGAACTTAATCCGTTCCACAACTCTGGTCGCTACCTGAATTGGTCACGAGCCAAGTCAAATTTCCCCATAAGGTTCAATGTAAATAAGGTTAATCCATTTTGTAAATATTTTTTAATCAAAAAAATTGAAACAAAGTAATGAAGAAGAGCAAAGTAACAAAGTACAGTAGAGGACACTAACCTAGGTGGGGGGGGGGAGGTTATTGTTTGGAGGGAGAGTCCAAAGCACAATTGTGTGATAGCAATTGTGCGGGGGGCGGGGGGCAGAGATGGCCGCGCTCATGCCCAAGGGGGAGATGGCTGTGATCGCGAGCGCGCTCGTGCAGGGGAGACGGGCATGATCACAGGTGTGCTCAGGGAGGGGGGGGGAGATGGCTGTGATCATGCCCGTCTTCCCTGCATGAGCGTGACTGCGATTGCAACCATCTCCCCCCCCCCCCCACAGCACGATTGTGGCCACCCCCCCCCCAAGCATGACCACGCTTGCGCAGGGAAGATGGGCACGTTCGCGATCGTCACCTAATGCAGAGCTCTTGACCTGAGTCAACTTTTTTCTGAAATTTCTGTTCGTGACCCAATTTGGTTGTTAACTGAGGTGTCTGTGAGCCGAGGTACCACTGTACCAGACTTTTTGTGCTCTGAAAAACTGAAAATACCTGGAAAATGTGGGAGAGGCCCTGAAATATGTCAACATTGTGAAACTTCCATGAGTGAGGGATTATGAGCACACAATAAAAGACTCACACAGAGAAGTCCTTAGCAAAGTAGGTAACATGGGAAAATTAAAGATAGTTCCTTTTGACCCTTAATGGTAGACAGCTTTTGTTTATTAACTTACACTTCCTTCATTATTTATCCTGAGATACTAACAACACGTACATTTATTTAAATAAAATTAGTGCTTTTTAATGGATTAAAATGCAGATGATCAAACAGCTGAACATTCTTTTATCACTGATAGTTCTAGAACAAATATGACCCTTTATCTTGAACTAATGGGTGAGACAGATTGAATACCACCACATCAAACATACAAGCAAACCCAGTACCTTTTGTCTCAGGCTTTATTGAATTTTGTGTTCCATTACAATTTTCCCCTCTCTCGGAATTTTTGTTTGCATTTGCAAAGGATCTTGTCAACTCCCAAGTGCTTTGTAGAGAGGGCAGCCTTCCCCACGCTCCATTCCTGACACAATTCCTTTATTCACATCTCATTCCATTGCTTCTACTCCCCCAAACTATCTCATGCTTTATGCTTACATGGAACAGCAACAATGAACGAAACACACATACCCCACAAAGGTCGTTCTATGGATGAATGGGAAGAATAATAATGGTTCTGTAGGTTGAACACAAGCGTGCAGCGAAAGGAATGCACTGGACATATGATGGCATGCTCTTAACACTGTCATGTAAAGGATGACCTCTGTCCAGGACTTGCACCAGAGTCTGCTGCATCTCGACTCCTCTAAGGCTCTTTCTGTATTTGTGCTTAGAGCCTTGACCCTGGAGACTTGTTGGCATCTGAGGGTGGTTTGGGCTTAGCCTCAGGATAGACAAGGAACCCAGTGAAGGTGATGTACTTGCCATGGTTGCTATAGGCACCATAGCCATCATGCTGGTGGCTGTACAGCCAGACGGTATCGCCAGACTGCAGAGGCAGCATAATGCTCTGGCTTTGCATCTCACGCCTCTTGGAATGGTTGTCATCATAGATCATCGCTTGGACTTCATTGTGGTTCTTCATCAGTTTCACAGACATGGTCTTGAAAGGCATCTTGCCAATGGTGAAAGAAAAATAGTAGGCACCTGGGACACGACATGTGAAGATGCCACTTGAGACATTGAAATCTTTTCCAATGTTTACAAACTCTGTGTCAAATGTGATTGGTTCGTGCTGGGTTTGCTTCTCATCTGTCCCCAGGAGGCTTTCAGAACGGGCAGCAGAAAATGCTGAGCGAGGATCCTGTGATCTGCTTGGTTGGTCAGAAAGCAGGTGTCTCTCAGAGACTTCGTTCTGGTTGATGGAAAGTTGCTGAATCACACGAGGAGGAGGAGGCCCTGAAGGTTCTCCTAGATCCTGGGAGCCAACGGTATTTTGAAAATAGCTGGATGTGTCTGGATAGATGAGGTATCCATTGAAAGTTGTATAGGGACCCACATTGCTGTAGAGCGCATACTTGGGATCCCCATGTAAGCGTAGCCAGACCGTGTCTCCATAGTCCAACTGTAACATGGCACTCTGGCTGGCTACCTTCCGCTCTTTACGGTGGTGTTCATCATATACAATTGCTTGAACCTCATTCTTGTTTCTCATCAGCATGACTGATAAGTTTTTCTTGGGGTATTTTCCAACTGTGAAGGAGAAGTAATAGGCTCCGGGGATACGACATCGAAACAACCCAGCTTTGGGGTCAAAGTCACCCCCAATGTTCACGTAGACTTTGTCAAATGTGATCACCATTTCAGTGCTTCCTTCCATGCTGCTGGTTCTAGCAACCGAGAAAGCCGACCTGAACTCCGTTCCAGACTCAGCAGGAAAGCCATACACGGGGAAACAGGCTATGTGGCAGAGGAAGCCGAGCAAAAGCGGAACCTTCAGTTGAGTCATCATATCTAAAAGAAAAAAGAATGGACAGTTTGGTTGAAGCATTTTAAGATCACCTTCCAAGTTGAGGGAAGACTCAGGGTTGTAATTATGGGAAAAGGCTACCTTGTGTCAAACTCTAAACCTGGTCTTTTTTCAAAAGAGACAGGTAGTTCTGCCCCTGTAACTCCCAGAGCATCCAGAAATCCCACCTTTGGAAATCCAGCCCTGAATGTAGGGATTACTTGATAGGTGTAATGTAACCTTCTATGAACTTGCTGTGCTACTGTGGACCAACAGGCATTGGTTTTAAAGTCCTGATAGACGTGAACTGGAAATGACTCCACAGACTAGAAATGACAAATGATGTGGGAAAGTGTAGTGCAGAAAGGTGAGTCGGTACCACAACTGCTTTCACCCAGAGTACAAACTGGGCCCCAAACAGTATCAGGAATGAGGAGGCAGCAGAGGCTTTCAGAGTCAGGTGTAGTTCCGACCACTGAATACCTGCCTGCAGTCAAGCCCTCATGGAAATTGCTTTTGTAACCAAGTGTTCTGTGTTGCTATAGTAGCCAAATCTATTTTATATTGTAATTATTTAATGTTCTTGTTAACCCTTCTTTGTTTTCTTCCATCTAAATATATCACTGAGATTTCTCTTTTCCTCCCTCCTTTCAGTTTTACAGCAATTTAGGTCTCAATCTAGGCATGTTTAGACAGAAAAAGTGCCTGCAATTCCTGGCACGCCACAGGCAATACAGCATTTTTCTGTCTAAAACATGTGCAGGATTGCATCTTTAGGGCACAATCCTGTGTCTCCTGCCCTCAGTGCATGTAAGCCTCCACAGGCAGCATACATCCTATGCGTGGCATCAGGTGTGGTGGCAGCAGTTTCTGCTGCCACTGCGCCTTATGCTATATGTTCTGTCTAGATGGACATTTTTTGGTTTTCCAGGTAAAGTGAGGTGGGGCAGACTGTAGGATATTGGATTCCAAATAAGCCTGTGACTTTCCAGATAATCCTGGAAGGTCACATGACTGCACCCTAAGTTTTCTTAAGTGTGTGTGTGAGAGAGGGTGGTTTTTGTTTTATAGAGTACATGCTGCTGATCCAAGATGATTTGTCCCCTTAGGCCAATGAATCTGGAAACTCTGTCAGGATTAAATGTAATTAGGTCACCAGACCAAGGCTTTGGGCATGGAGGCATGGATTCTTTGTTCTGATTTTCCCCTTGGTAAGGCTGAAGCAGAGCCGTTGAGATATGGATGTTTCTCCCACATCCACTGCTGCCACCAGTAGACCCAAAAGAGGCTGCCTTGCCTGCACAGTGGCAGTAGGGGTGTCTGAATGAAATTAGAAAAAAGGAAAAAGATAGCATCCATATAAAAAGGTATTCCTCACAATAGCATAAACTCCTTCATCACAGGAAAGGATCAAAACAATGGGATGAAAATAGAACCGTCTAGACTGTGCGTAGACTACAGTGAACACAAATGGCCCATGAGAAACACTGACAAGATGGCGGCTAATCCATTTCCCCCCATGTCTGCTCTGATGCTTATGATTCTAGTGGCAAGAGGCCAAACCGTGATCTACTGGTGCTTTCTGTCTGAAAACAAGCCTGCCAGTCACTGCACAGACATGAAGTGCCTTTCCCTGTCCTTTCTTTCGTGTGTTCATTAAAGCATCACTCAGCCTGAGAGCTTGAAGGCTGGGGTCTCATGTCTGCCCTGTCCGTCACTTCAGAGCTGGCCCACTGCCAGATGGCATGTCTACGGCGCTACAAGGCTCCTTTGTAGGAGCCAAAGCACTTCTAAGGCAGAATCCTCACATAAGGGCACACTACTGAAATGGTGGGCTTGGGGGGGGGGAGAATTTGGCAACTCTAGAGTCACGAGTGGAAGTGCAGGGTGTGGCCACAGGTGTAGGGGGCTTTTCTGGGAAAACACGCTAGCAGGATGAAGGAAGACTGAAATCGGATTTTTAGTTCTGCTTGCCCTTATTCCCAGGCCTGCGTCCCAAATTCCAAAACTTGGTTTAATGAATCTGGACCTATTCGTTTCTTGGTTACATTCACATCCTACCTGTACTCCAAGGAATCCAAGGTTGTGTGAAGATAAAAGGGAGAGAAGGACCATGAACAACGGCCCTATGAGGTAGGCTTGGGGAAGAGTCAGCGGCTACCTCAAAATTGCCCAGTGAGCTTTATGACTGAACGAGAGCTAGAAACCAGGCTCCTGGGTCCTAGTTTAGTACCGTAACCACAACACCACAGTGGCTTGCCAAATGGATTAAACTTTTGCCTCAACCAAGAACCATATCATTAGAAACAGAAGCAAGCAGAAGAGCCTTTGTATCTAGTTCTGTTGCACACGCTGTATTTATTTCCAGAATAGGCTGCCTCTTGTGGGCCTCCTTAGGGTGGATGGGTCCTTGAACACCCCTGCCTCACAACTATGACAGCCGTCTCAGAACAGTAAAGATGATGCATGTATTCAATATATTTGCTTCCATGGAGCCAGGAAAACTTGTCCTCTCTTAATGCTGCTTATTTGTACATCATGGTTCTTTCTACGGAGCCTTGCCTTTCAGTTTTTATATAAATACATGCTTAAATGAATGCATATAATTAAATACGTTAAAAAATCTAAACAAAGAAATCATAGGATTGTAACCAGGGAAATATCATCAGAGTGTGCTGGGGCAACAGGACTTTTTCCTTCCATGCTCTCCCTTGAACAGTTTATTTATTTATTTAAAGCTTTTATATCCTGTTCAACTACTAGTGTCTTGGGACAGTTTTACAATAAAAGCAACAGAAACAAAATAGAGCACAGTATCCAATGCTTCCAATATAATAAAACCCACATTAAAACCAATTAAACATTAACATAATGGGAAAATAAAAAGGTTCCCCTGCAAATCTGCTTTAGAGGGTTGAGGGGTTCGCTGGAAAGTGGAAGGAGACATAGAGATGAACTGAAGGGACTGTTAGCAACAATTAGCAGTCCCTCAACAGGGGCCTCATCTGGACTTAGGCCTTTGGATCCAACCCATCCATGTAAAGAGAGTTAAAAGCAGTTTGAGAAAGGCACTGCTTCCCAATATTTATTTATTAAAACATTTTTATGCCGCCCCATTTGCCGAAGCCTTTAGGAAGAACCAGAGGTCTTCCTGAAACAATACTATAAAGCACACATACCTGAAGCAATACCAAGATGAACTTGCACACCACAAGGAAGAATCCCTTTTTAAAACCACCTGCCTCTTTCTTCAACACCCTCCACCCCATCAGCTGTCCTCTGGTGCAGCCCGGCAGTCCTTAGTGCCCCTGAATATTATGGCCACAAGATTGCCCAGAATCTCGGGAGAGATGTAGCATCTTTTGTTCAAGCTCTGGCTGTGGATGACAGGAAGGGACTGAGCTTCACTGCATTTAGCCAGCCTCGTTCCAAGGTATATCTTATTTTCTGGAACAGAGATGCCTTTTCTCAGAGACAGCTGGAACAGCTACTCAAAGCAGGTTGCAGGCGTGAAGACCTCTCTGGGGAATGCTGACCCCCTGGTCCCTTGAGCGACGGTAACTGCCCTCTTTCAGCTTCAGATTTAAATTCTGTGTGCACAAGTCACTATGGAAATAGCTAAATTTAGCCATTTTGCAGCAGTTCTCAGCTGAAATGGTCATTGCATTTCTTTTGATACATTAGCTCTTTCCAAATAGCCAGAAAATGATTGGCATTTTCTCATTACCAAATTCCATTTTTATAGATTTGGAATTGGTTGATCTTCTCTCTCAATGAATATTTATCTCTTTGGAAATATTAGGTTCCCATTCCTCTAGAGCTTCTGTAAATACTCATATATAATTTTAGCCACATGCTTCTCATGGAATGTCTTTGGACATCTGCAATTCATGAATCTGAGCTGCAGAACTAATGTTTTGATTTTCGGCCAGTCACTCACTCTCAGTCTAACCTACTTCACAGGGTTATTGTTGTGATGATAAAATGGAGCTATGTAAACCAGGCTGGGTTCCTCACAAGAGAAGAAAAGGTCCAATATAAATTCAATGTAATAATAATAAAGCTAATTATAGGCAGAACAATATACTGTGCACCATATGATTTGGGTGTTATAATAAGCATCTCACTGACACTTTGCACAAAACACCCCAAAAGTATCAGAGGTAGAAGGAGAAAATTTCAATTGCCAGCCTCAATTTCTCCCATCTTAAAGGTCTCCATTGCAAGGAACACCCCTAGTGCTGAAGCCAGCGCCATTTAGATAAGTACAGGCAGTCCCCAGTTCATCTTTAAGTCAAATTTGTATGTAAGTTGTATAGTCAGCCCCCCACATTTGTGGGGATCAGGGGTGCAGGTACCCCATGAAAGTGAAAAAAAATGTGAATACAGGTAGTCCCTGGGTTATGGACAAGTTCCCCTCCTGAGAATACCCTTAAGAAGAATTTGTATGTAAGTCAGGTCACATGAGTAAGTCAAATGTTTGTCTTAGTATATGCATATATTTTACCTTTCTGTGCATATAAAACACCTAAGAAATACTACTGTAGTCACCAAAACATCTTGAATACAAAACAGCATTGCAATAATGATAATAATTGATAATAAGCAGGAAGAGCTTGAAGCTCTCCTGGGAATAGGAGGGTATGATCTGGTGGGAATCACAGAAACTTGGTGGGATGAAAGGCA